GCGTCCATCAATTCATACACCCACCTCTCTGCCCCACCCACACCCTCTCTCCTCACACCCTGTTCATCTGCATACCCCACTTCAATATGGCAAGTAAGACACAGCCAGCCTCCACTGAGGTCTTAGGTTAGTCATGTGACCATGAACCCAAACCAAGTGGACTATCATTAGGTGAATGTTTCCAAACCTATCAGCCCCTCCTTCTAGCTCTGGAGACATTCAAGTCCAAGAACAGAGAGCCTCCCTGATGGCTTTGACCCTGAGTCTCTGCTTCCACAGTCACATCTTACTCTCTCTCTCTTCTCCCTCCACAGTGGGTCAGGGCTCAGGCTGGGAGGCACAGAATCCACCAGTGCTGCTGTGTGAACTTGGGCTGCACGTTGCCCTCTCTGGGCTCCAATCTCCTCCCAATCCCTGTGGAGGAGGTAACTCAGTTCTCTAAGAAACCTTGTAATCGGAACCTGTATCTGATTCTTTGTCTTCCTCTCTTCCTCTCTGATGGACTTCGACCCAACTGGGTCTAGGAAGTGCCATATCTTAAACAAGGCTGGGAGGCATGGAGGCAGGGGAGACTGGTGGCAGCAATGGTAAAATAGGTATGAAGTTCTCTTTCCATGCAGGTATGAGTTCCTCCCTGCTCTAAACTCTTCCATGGCTCCCTACTGCCCTCAGGAAAGAGTATGAGCTCAATCCAGCATCAGTGAATCCAGCCTGTTGGCTCTCCAACCTCAACCCTCACCTAATTCCTCCTTTTCTCCAGCAGCTCCACCTCCAGCCCCCAGGCCCTGGCAACCCCAGTTCCCTCTGCTCGATGCTGGGCTTTGTGACCACCCTAGCTCCCAGAACATAACAATTGTCTGTGACTGGATAGATGAAGTGCCTTCTCCACCTGGAAAGCTCCTATCTATTCTTCAAAGCCCCAGTTCTAATGCTCCTCCTCCATGCAACAAGATTCCCCAGGCAGAGCTTCCCTTCCTTATCCAGTTCCCTCAACTCGGTCCCTCTCTCTGACCTAACTCTCACCTCTGGATGTGTCAATGTTTAGCTCTGGCCTCAGCTCTCCTATACTTAGTAAGGTCTTTTGGGAAGTTGTTGGTTGAATGAATGAATGAGTGAAAGAATGAATGGATAGATGAATGAATGAAGCTACTGGGTGTTCTCAATGGCCAAGGCCTTACTTGCCAATAAGAGTGAAAGACAGAATCACAGTCTCTCAGAGACTGTTGGTTCTAACCTCGAAGCCACACCCCTCAAAAGACCCCCACATAAGAGGGGGTCCTTGGGGGTCCCAAGACCTTTGCTGCTTTCTTACCAGGGCATCCTCCCCCACACTGAGATTCTTGGTGAGGTGACCCCTGGGCCTTTGCACATTCTGTTCTCTCTGCCAGAAACACCTTTCTCTATCCATACACGTTTCTCATGCCTCAGGTCCCGGCTTCTTCCCAGTGACCAGACACAAGCGTCACTAAAATCCTCATCCTTGCTCCTTGGCCTCCTTTAAGCGCCAGGCCTCATCACAGGCTTCATCGAAGCCAGCTGGGGAAACTGAGGCACCCAATGGAGAGGGCCTGGCTGGAAGCCACAGCGCCTCTAGTGAGAGTCCCATGCAAATCTCAGTGGGTCAGCCCTGGCAGCTTGTCCCCAAGCCCCCTGCCACTGTCCCCCCCTGCTGCCCCACCATGGAAATCCAACTGCTGCTTGGGTTCCCCCCAGCCCGGGGCTGGCGTCACACTCAGAATCTCAGGCCTGCGGGGCTCTCACCGCCTCAGCCTCCCCCTCCCCCGAGGCGCGGTGGCAGCTGGCGTTCCTATGGAAACCACAGGCCATGCCCGGCCCCCGCCACACCGTCCTGCGCTCAACCTCCGCTTTAAGACAAATATTGTCATTAACATGCAAATGTATATGCGATTACCATAAGTGGGGGACCCGCGGCAGCCTGCGGCACTAGACAGTCCCTTCCCTGGGCCAGAGTGGACGATAATATGCAGCCCCCATGGCGGGGGGGCTCACAGACCCCTGGGAGGGGGGAGGGTGTCCAAGGGGGTCTGTCCTCCCCCCGGACAGAGGACTGAAAGGGACCAGAAGGAACCTCAGTTCCAGCCACAGATTTGGCTTGAGCTCCCTGGCTGGAGTGGGGGTCCCAGGGAGACCCCACTCTCTGGGGGGTTGGGGTGGGGCCCCCCTGCCCCCTCCTCCATCTCTCTTTTCTTTCAGTCCCCTTTCCTCTCCCTCTCTCCCTGTCCCTGTGTCTCTCCTCTCAGTTCTCACTGTCTCTGTCTCTTAAAACCAAGAACCACTCAGGGGGGCGTCTGCGTTCTGCTGAAGACCCCTCCCCGCCGCCCCCATCCTGCCCTCCTCTTCACCTTGGCTCCAGCCCCTAGGCTGCCCTGCTCCACCCCTGGCCTTGGCTGGCGGGTGTCAGGGTGGCTTCCCCTCCCCCACATCATCTTTGGGGCCTCCCCTGTCAATTAGGTGGGGATCCGTGACACCTTTACCCCCCACAAACACTTCTGTTTTCCCTCACCTGGGAGAAGAGCAGGTGGGAGATGGAGGCCAGCCTCAGTTTCCCTGAAATGTGCTGACTCTCTGAAGCTGTCCCATGCTGTCCTCACTGTGGGGGATTAAACACTCTCCATGAAGGATGGGATGGCATAGGCAGGGTAACAATGATGCGGACGGTCCTCTCCACACTGGGTGCCAGGTATCCGTGTGATGCACACAGGACACTCTCACTGCACCCCACTGTGGCCCCCGCAGCTTCCCTGGTGTCCAGCCTCGTGGGATCCCCCAGCATCCGGGGACTTTGAGGCTCTCACAGGTCTTGCTGCCTGTGAAAGAGATTTTCTCTCCATTCCAGGAGGCCACCCCACAGCTCTGAGACACCTCAACGTGGCTCCCCAGAAATGAAGCCAAGTGAGTGCTGGCAGGACATGCCTGGCTCCCTTCTCTCCCCATTCATCGTTCTACCTCTGTTTGGCTGACGCCCAGAGAGGGGCAGCCACTGGCCAGAAGTCACACAGCTGAGCCCCAACCGCAGGCTTTGATCACGGTTCCTGACACCCCTGTCTCCTGCTTGCTCCACAATGCTCTCACAGCAGGCAGCCAGGTGACATCCAAGTGAGGGTCCACTGTCCCCATGGGAATGAGGAGGGACGCTGCTGGACCCACTTTTGACACAAGAGGAGTCTCTCCCTCATTACTCCTGGACGCTGAACCCGACTACCTCAGGTCCCCCAAAATGTGAAAAAGTGGACATCGGCGGACACCAGATTCCCAACTGTCACCTCCCAAGGAAAGAGCCTGAATGCCAAAGCCCGTGAGGCATGCCTGCACACCTCAACATTCTCCAACCAGAAAAAAAACCGTAACTGCTCCACCGATTCTGGAGAAACTGGGGCTCAGGCAGCCTCCCCACCCCTTACCTGTTCCCTGCCCAGGATCTGCACGAGAGATGTTTTAAATGACAGAGATGGGACCACAGGGATGGTCCACCCCAGCACCCATCTCTCTCCCTAACCCAGACCTCACCCACTACGCTGCATAGCAACGTGTGGGGGGCACATGTGGACAGCCCCCCTCTCCAATCAGAATCTTTCTAGAAGTGGGCGCTTCAGATGGACCAGTGGGCCTAACTTAGGGGCCGACCATGAGCCCCTCTCTGTCTTTGGCCAGAGGCAGGAGTTAGATTTCTCAGCAGCCCTCCCTTTTTTTTTTTTTTTTTGGTGATGTAAACCATTACTAAGCGATGGGGGATGGAAGGGGGGGGTCTTCCCTCCCCCTCCAGGGGCCAGCTAGAGGGTCTGCCTTGAAGTGACAAAGCCTGAGATCCATCCCACCAGACCTTCCCTGTGGCCAGCATGAACTCCTCATTCATTCATTCATTCATTCACTCACTCACTCACTCATTCAACAAACATGTATTCATGGTCACCATGAGGCAGAGAGGAGGTATGGGAACAAACTGAGTCTGAAATAGGTCATAAGCCCAGGTCTATGTCTAAGGCCTCTCTGGGGTCTTGCTGGAGGATGGGGACCCAAGTATGTCCATCATAGAGCCTTTGCTGCCCCTGCTTCCCCCGCCCCCAGCCCCTAACACCTGATAGGAGAGCTTGTCACCGCGGCCCAAATTCAGACCTGAGCCCATGATCAGAGCCCAGAGCTGGGGCCACCATCACCAGGCACCCCCTCCAGGGACGCCATCAGAGGGTGAAGCAGGCTGGGGGGTAGTCAGCCAGGCCTTCCCACTCCACCTGCCTCCCGGAGGCCGCCCACGCCTCCCTCCTCCTCCCTGTCCACCCCAGGATTTGGGCTGTGCCCTGACGGACAGTTCACGTTCATTGTCTTGGCCTCAGACCTCAACACACTGCCACGGCTCTGGCCAGGTCTAACTTGAGCCAAAGGTGGGCCTGGGCGCGGGGGGAGAGCAGAGACATGGAAGGGGGGCGCCAAGCCCTACGGAGGAGGTGGGCAAGGGGGGGGCACGAGCGAGCGTGTGACCCACCCGAGCCAGCCGGCCAGCCGCGCGTCCCCGAGCCCCCACCCTGGCTTTCTTTGTAGTTACCGATCAGCCCCCGGTCCTGGGCATCCGTGTCCCCTGCGGCCGGACCTGCCCCACCGCTGGCCTGGCTTTGTGAAAACCAGCAGGGCAGTGGGGTCCAGAGGCGCAAACTTCCCCCGACGGGGCCTGGGGAGGCCGAATGAATGGGGTGGGGGCCAGGGAGGGCGGGGGCGGCTCCTGGCACGGGGGCAGGAAGGAGTGGGCGAGGGAGGGGAGTGGGGGGTCTGGGGACTGAGGGAGAGAGGGAGAGAGGGACAGAGGGAGAGAGAGAGAGAGAGAGAGAGAGAGAGGAGGATGCTGGGGGGAGAGGATGGGAGAGAGATGAGAGAGGGAAGGTGGGAGGAGGGAGGAGGGAGGGGGCGGAGGAGGGAGGGGGCAGCTCGGCTCTGTCAGCTGCACCCCCGAGGAGGCGGCGGGTGGGGGCGGGGCGGGGGGCGCCCACCTTTGTGCATGCCCGTGTAGGGGTCCTTGAGCACCGTGAGCTCGTAGATGCGGCCGAACTGCTCGAAGAGCGGCTTGAGGTCCTGCTCGTCCAGGTTGCGCGGGATCTGGCCGACGAACAGCTTGATGGCGTCCAGGTCCTTCATGCCGTCGGGCTGCGCCCCCGGGGGCTCGGGCCCGCTGCCGCCCACGGGCGAGGGCCGCGGCTGCAGGAGCTGGGGCTGCTGCCGGCGCGCCTCGCTCTCGGTCAGGCGGGCCATGGCGGGCGCGGGCCGCGGCGCTGGACTCGCAGGAGACGCGCTCCGCCCGCCGCGCCCCGCCCGCCGCCGCCGCCGCCGCCGCCGCCGCCGCCGCCGCTGGGCCACAAAGGCGGCGCCACAGCGGCCCCCGGCGGCCGCCGCGCGCACTGCACCCGGGCGGGGAAACTGAGGCGGCGGAGGGGGGCGGCGGAAACTGAGTCCCAGAGTTGCGCAGGGAAACAGGTCCAGAGGCCCGCGGGGAGACTGGAGCTTGGAGGAGCTCGGGGAAACCGCGACACCGGCTGGGGAACTGAGGAGGGGTAACACAGGGAGAAATGGAGGCTTGAGAGGGCTGTGCCGGGGGGTGGGGGGGTGGGGGGGGATCTGAGACATGGAGACCCGTGGCGGGATCTGAGTCCCACGCGTGGACACGGAGACCGAAGAGTGGAGGCGCTCAGAGAAACGGAGGCCTACGGGGGAAACTGAGTCCCAGAGGCGCGGGAGAAAACGGCTGCCGGGGAGACTGAGGCAAGGCTCCAGAGGAAAAGGAGGCCCAGAGGCGCAAAGCACCTGGGAGAAGGACTGACAGCAGATAAGACAAAGAGGGGTTCCCTGGGCTGAGTCCTGGGCACTTTGGGTCCCTCCTCCCCTCCGTGGTGATAGACACGGTCACAAGAACAGCAAAACTAGAAATAGCCAAAGTCGGGGCTGCAAGGGCGCATTCAACATCACTGGCATTTGTGCTTTGCCATCAGGCACAGTGATAGGATCTGTGACAAGGAGGAATCCACTGTCACCACCTGCCAGGTACAGTGCCCAGCACTTTTAAGTTTAGAACTTCAATAAAAATACAAATAATTGTATTTATACCAACTGTAGCCAAAAGTAACACTTTTTAAATGACATTTGTCATGTGCCCATAGTGTGCAAAGTGTATTGAAACTTCTGGGCCAAGTGCTCCAAGGGCCTCATGTAACCTCTGCTTAAGTCTCCAAAGATGTACCCAAATTAAAGTCCAAGTCCTCCCTGCAGCCCACAAAGCCCTGTATGACCTGCCCTGTCCCTTTCCTGCATCCCTGTGTCCCTCTCCCCCCATCACTCCCTGAGCTCCAGCCACATGGGCCCCCTCAAAGTTCCTCTCCAACATGCTAGCCTTGCTCCTGCCCCAGGGCCTTTGCACAAGTTGTAACCTACAGCTGGGGCCCTTTTCTCCCCCATGGTGCATGGTTCATTCCTTCAGTCTCCCATCACTTTTTCTGTCTGCCTTAGCTAAAATCATCCAGCCACCATTTCCTCTAGGTGGAGGAATGGTTTTAGGAGGCAAAATCCGGGAAGGCTTCTCTGAGATGATCTTCCATGTAGGAAGTGAGTGGGGCAGCACCTGCTCAGTTGGAGGAACACAAGGATAGCACAGCAGGGTGCCCCTGCGGGCAAGGCCCATGACAGGCTGAAGAGGATGGTGGCAGGGGTTTCATACCACGCACGGAAGTAAGTAACTCTTGAGATATGAATGTAGCCTCCAGGCTGGGCATTGGGCCAGGCCGGCCAGGGTCTCATCTCAGATACAGAATTCCATGACTGAATGGTTAGGGTGAGTAACACTCCATCATACAGACAGGCTGCAGTTGATTTGGGATTCATCCACTCACTGGAGCATTACACAGCCATGAAAAGGATGAGGCTCTGCCCCGTGCTACAGTGTGGAGGACCCTGAGGACATGGTGCTCAGTGAGAAGCAGACCCACAAGCACACAGGGTGTGACTCCATTGATAGGAAATGTCCAGAACAGGAGGATCCAGAGACAGGAAGTGGACTCGTGGGGGCCAGGGCTGGGGGGGACAGCTTACAGGGATGAGGTCTCCTTTTGGTGATAGAATGTTTTGGAACAAGGGTGCCAGTGGCTCAGGCCTGTAATCCTCGCTACTCAGAATGTTTTGGCTTGGCTACGGCCAGCATCATAACTGGCAGTCACTTGGTCACCTCCAGACAGGGACAGATCGTCACTGTCAACTGACCCCTCTCGGGGTCAGAGGTTGGAGTCTTCCGCACACATGGCTCCTTGGCCCTGCTACCCACAGGGCACTCAGATTCAGTCAGGCCGGATCCACATAGGCACAGGGGATGCTGGAGCCAGCTGGGCACTGGGCTCCGTTTCCATGGAGACCTGAGCAGGATGCTGGGAGAATCATGGAAAGGGATCACGAGTAAAGCCGGACAATCCTCCTGTGAGCTAAGGATACCCTACTTATCCAGCTGCTTCCTTTTTTGGGGTGGGGGGAAGCACTGGGGCTTGAACTCAGGGCCTTGCACTTGCTAGGCAGGCACTGTACCACATGAGCCGCACCACCAGCTTTAGTTATTTTCTAGGTAGGGTCTCACGTTTTTGCCTGGGGCCAGCTTCCAACTGTGATCCTCCTACCTCCCCCTCCTGCATAGCTGGGATGACAGGTGCACACCATACCTGGCTTATTGTTTGAGATAGGGTCTCTCCTACTTTTTGCCCAGGGTTGGCCTCAAGCTGTGATCCTCCATCTCTGCCTCCTGAGTAGCTGGGATTACAGAAGTGAAACACTACACTTGGCCCTGATTCTTATTTGAAGTACATTTAAAAACAGGCACGTGATAACTGGGTATTTGTGGCATCCAGGATGGTATCAATAGGTGTATACAAGTGTGGTGATCACATTGTAGCTATGTGGTCTGTGACAGCTGCCTTTTTTATCCTCTCTACTGGCTATTTTAAAATACGCAGCTCCTTGCTGCTAACTGTCATCGTGAGAGTCCTCAGAGCATTAGCGGGGAGGCATCTGGACCCCTGGATTGTTTTCTATCCATCCTCCCTCCTACATTCTTCCTCTGGACTTTCTCCTTTTCATGCCATCACTGTGAATCACTTTGGAAGGAAGAAAGTCTAAGCCTTAAGAACAGGAACAAGACAAACCAGCTAGCAGTCACAGCCGTCAGACAGGGGACGTGCACATCAAAGCCACAGCGGGCTGGGTTTACCCTTGTCTACTTGGTGTCCACGGGAACCCAGAGCTTCCCCATCCCCCGAAGCAGGTGCCACACCACTGTACCTTGCTACATGACCCGTGGGCACCCAGGGTCCTGGGCCCACCTGGTGGATGGTGACATCAATGGGCCCCTTGCAGGCCAGAGGCAGTGACTCACACTTGTAATCCCAACTACTTGGGAGGCTGAGATTGGGAGGACTGCAGTTGAGGCCAGCCTGGGCAAATAGTTTGTGAGACCCCCATCTCCAAAAGAACCAGAGCAAAATGGAGTGGAGGTGTGGCTCAAGCAGAATTCTTGCTTTGCAATTGTGGAGCCCTGAGTTCAAACCCCAGTCCCACCAAAAAAATGGGCCACTTACCACGTGCCAGGCACTGGACCACCACATGTGGTGAGAACCCATTATCCCCATTTCTTGGGGGGGCAAGTGGAGGCACCTGTGGTTCTCAGGATGACCTCCCGCAGATGCTGCCTTCAAGTGTGTCACCGTGTCTGTGGGGTGTAGCACTATTGGTTTTGGACTACAATAAAATACACCAGACCGTTTATCATTTTGCACGTTAAAATGCGGAAAGCGTGCAGCTCCACAGCGTCGAGCACACGCACATCTGTCCCCGTCAATGCTGCCACTCCTCCCCTTCCTGCGGCTGGCACCACCATCCTGCTTCCTGTCTCTGTGGATCTGTGACTCTAGGGACTCCTGTGAGTAGAGTCCTTCTGTGTCTGCTCGTTTCACTGAACACTGTGTCCTCAAGGTCCACGCACATTGCAGCAGGTGACAGGATTTCCTTCCTTTTAATGGCTGCGTTATACTCCACCGCAAGAGCAGGACCACACTGTGGTATATTCACTCATCCACCCACAGGCGCTTGAGTTGTTTCTACCCCTTGGCTGTTATGAATCGTGCTTGAACGCAAGGGTGCAAGTATTTGAGACCCTGCTCAGAATACTCTGTGTGTACCCACTCAGAATGGCTGTGTCTGTGTAGAGAGTCCAGGACTGGAGCCATGGCTCAAGCAGTAGAACGCCTGCTTTGCAAGTGTGAAGTTCTGAGTTCAAATCCCAGTCCCACCAAAAAACAACAACAAAAGACATTCAGAGTGAAAGAGAGAGAGAAAGAAACCAAGATAGCTAAAGACAGATGCAAACAGGAGAAAGGAGAGTGAGACACAGAGGCAGAGAAAGGGATGCAGCCAGCAAGGTAAAATGTTGACAACTGGAGAGTTCTTTGCACTATGGCCAGAACATTCAGTACGACTGAAATTACGTCAAAATTAAAAGTTGAAAATCAGAAAGCAAATGGGGCTTTTCAGGTGGAGGGTCCCCCCAAAGCACCTCCCACCCTGCACTTCTGCCAGGGGCCACTGACCAAGGGCCCGGCTTCCTACATCTCTGCCTCTGAGCTCTCTGGTCCCAAGCAGGTGCCGGGCACCTTGGCCCCTGGGGGAGAGCGATCAGAACGCAGCATCTCTCAGCCACCTGCTCCACTCTCTCCAGACCTTCCGGGTGTCACCAGGCTGACTAGTCACTGCAAACTCCAAGACCAGGATGGCAATGTCAAGTGAAATGAAGGCTGTGTCCACTCTAATGTGGTCAGCAGCCCTTCTGTTGCCCACCAGGGGCCACAGTGTTTACATTACCAAGGAGGAGAGGCACCAGACAGTGGGCTGGGAGTGGCAAAGGTTTTCTACAAAGAGCTGAGGGTAAATAAGTCTTTTAGGTCTTGTGAGCCACAGTCTCTGTTTCATTTTCAAGTACTCAGCTCTGTGTAGTGGGAAAGACCACAAACGGCACAGAAACAAGTGACATGGCATGTTATAGGTATTGTGTCAATAAAACCTTACTTATAAACACAAGCAGTGGGCTGAACTCAGCCGTACTTCACTAACCCCACCTGGTGATCCAAGAGGCACCTACGAAGGTGTCGATAAAATAATAAATAATAATAATAATAATAAAATAGCTGGTCATAGTGGCCATACCTGTAATCCCCGCACTCAGGAGGCTGAGGCAGGAGGATTATATAGTGAGACTCTGGCTCCAAAAGTGGAGGAGGGGAGAAGGGGGAGCAGGGAGGGAGGAAGAGAGAGCACCCTGACATTGATTTGGAAGCAGCCTCGTGAGGGGAGCACAGTATGACCATATCCAAAGAGTACGAGACATGGGCAGTCTTTACAGACAAAAACGAGGACGATTAATTACACCATTCTAATTAATTACATATATTGTGTTTTAAAACAATAATCTGTGGCCCCATACAAGAATGGGGTCAGTCCAAGGTTGAGCACCCTGCAGAAGTCCCTTTCTGTACTTATGCTCTTTTCAGTACTAGGATTTGAACTCGGGGCTTGCTAGGCAGGTGCTCTACCACTTGAACCACTCTCCAGCCTTTTTGACTTTAGTTACTTTTCTGACAGGGTCTTGTATTTTGGCCTGGTACCAGCATGGACCACGATCCTCCTTTCTATGCCTGATGCATAGCTGGCATTATAGTCATGTACCACCATGCCTGGTTTGTTTCTGAAACAGGGTCTCACGGTAACTTTGCCCATGTGGCCTGGAACCATGGCCCGCCCTCCCACCCATTCAGAGTGGAGACATCACATCTTCTGTATTAAATTGAGGTAGTCTCTGGTAAAGTTTTGGTTGTGTAGTCTTTTGTGGCAGTTAATATCAGGCAATTCGTATTAGAAACCTGTCCCTCATAATCTCTTGGCTTTATTTGCTTTCTTTCTTGGACACATGCTCCATTTTGGAGCAAATTTATTCTCGGGCCGGCCTGGACCTTGATTTATGCTTCTGGCATAGGTGGGATAACAGGCATGAACCACCACACCTAGCTTTTTATCAGTTAAGACGGGGTCTCACGAGCATTTTTGCCCAGGATGGCCTGGATCCATGATCTTCCAATCTCTGCCTCCCGAGCAGCTGGGATTCTAGGTGTGCACTGTGCCTGATTTGGCTTCATAAGAAAAAAAAAAAAAGTCCAGAAAAGCCACCACCACCAGAGCAGCCTCCTTGGGGCCTTGGTGGAGGTCAAAGTGATCTGTGGGAGGAGCACTTTGTTCACATTGCCACCCAGTAATGACAGGGATCTGGGTGTGCCCCCAGGACACCAAGTAACCCAAGAAGAAGTGGCCACATGTGCCTGACACAGGCAGCTTGATCTCGTTTCATCTACACAACTATCCTTAGGCTGCCAGTGACCTTTCCAGAATCGGCTGTGTCCCTCCTGTCCTTGTCTCTGCTGCCCTCCTCCAAGGCTCCTCACCACACTGACAGCAAAACACAAACATCTCACCACAGCCAGGCGTCCTGGAGGCCTAGGCCTCCCTTCCTCCCCCTCACTGGATCTTCCTCACTGTCCCTCCAATAGGAGGGGGCCTGCCCCAGGGCCTTTGCATGGCTGTCCTTGCTGCCTAAATCACCATCCTCTAGTTTCCACACGGCTTCATCCTTGTCATTCTGATTACACTCAAAGGTTCCCCTAAGGGACTCTTCCCTGGGTACCAAAGGCCCTCCGCTCACCCTGTAAATGCGACCTGTGATCAACCTGGAGAGGCCCCACCCACCTGATGGCTTATTACCCGCCTCCCACTGTGGGCTGAGTGTCCTGTGAAGGCTAAGATGGTGCCTCTCACTCAGCTTCATCCCTGAGCCCAGCCCAGGGCCTGGTACAAAGGAAATGTTCCATATTGACTTAAGTCCACAGCTGAATGAAAGTAACCCAGAGTGACACTGTCAGTGGCAAGGGACATGGAGGGACTCACGTGACCACTCAGCATGATGCACCCTTTGTAGTGGATTCCATACCCATGGACTCAACTGACAAAGGATCAGAAATATTCAGAAAATAACTACCTCTATATTGAGCACATGTGGACATATTTTTCTTATCATCAGTCTCTAGATGATAGTGTGACAACTATGCACAGCACTGACATTGTACTGGATGTCCCCAGTCCTCTAGAGATAATCAAAGATCTGTGGTGGGACGTGCACAGGTTCTGTGCAAACTTCACTATGTCACAGAGAAACCTGAGCATCTGCAAGGGTCCCGACACCAATTCTCTGAGGAACCTCCTCCCTCCCTCTGCTGTCACACAGGCCCCCTCACTGCTCCTCCAACATGCCTCTGTCCTGCCCCAGGGCCTTTGCATGGGCTGCCTAGAGCACCTTCCAGCTTTCCCCTGGGCTGGCTCCATTATTCAGGGATCAACTCAGTTGTCTGAACTTCTAACAGTCCTCCAGGATCCAGTCTCACAGCTCAGGTCCTCTGTTCCCCAACACTGAAATGCTCAGCACCCCTCCCTCCCCCAGAACACAAGCTCCACAGGCCCAGGGAGTCTTCTACTGCCAGCTGAAACCCCAGCACCTCACAGCAGCACCCTGACATGTTTGTTGAATGACTCAGAGAACTGGACAGAGCAGGCAGGGCGCTGGGTGACAGCAGAGCTGCAGGGGTAAAAGGGGACGACCAAGGTAGCCTCCAGATCCTAATGCACCCCCTGGACCCTACACAAAAGGCTGCACTGCCATAAATGCACTAGGGACCCGGTGGCAGTCTCAGGGTAGGTCAGAGTGGGTGCGGCCTTTGTGCAGTTGTAATCCCCCAAAGTTCATGTTCACCTGGAGGCTGTATGTGGCCCTATTTGGAAGTTAGTTATCATAGTCATACTGTCAGGGTGAGATTGTAATGGAGGGGTGTGTGTGTCCATTTTTAAGGGACAGAGAAGGCAGCATGGGATGGCAGAGGCAGAGATGAGTGAGGTGGCCACAGTCTAGGGACAACTGGAGCCCAGATGCAGGGAGAGGACAGGAGGACCTCCATGGTCTCAGAGCAGCCAGCCCTGCAGACCGGGATCTCACAGTAGCCTCAGGGGCTGAGGGACGCACATGGCTTCAGGCCCCCAGTCCCTGGAACAGTGCACAGCACACTGCCCCATAATGCCTCCTGAGCTCCCGTCCCATCTGCACAGTGTGAGCTGGGGACAAGGCCCCCCGAGGCACAGGGAGGTGGGCTCTCCACACAGATCCCAGCCCCTTCCCATTTCCCCTCTGGGGGACCCCAAGTCACCTTAAACGTGGGCATGACCAAATTCTCAGCCCCTAGAGAAGCAGGGAACCAACACATCATTCAATATGGCTTTAATTTCTGATGGGCAACTATGTCCCCTACCAGCCAGCCCAGGGCGGCCCATCCACCCGACCTGCCAGGGAAGGAGGCTTGCTGGGGAACACTGGCCCAGCGGCTAGGATGCTAGCAGCTGCGGGCACCCAAGTGCCCTAAGTCCTTCCCTGTGACGGGAAGCGCTGGCCTCAGTCCAGGGTCAGCTGTAGGGGACAAGTGTGCGGAGGCAGGTAGGCCGGACAACTCCGCCTTCGGTAAAGTCTGCAGCAGCGGGAGCTCCGGGCCTGGCCTGGGGTCTGGAGGGCCTGCTCCACTCATCCTGGGAAACAGGCCCAGTCTGGTGGCCATGGCTGTGCCTGGTGTAGAAGCAGCCCCGGACTGCAGATGGATGGGGTCTGGGCCTCCCCGCAAGCTGAGGCCTCAGCAGGTACCGGGTACTCGCCGTCCCTCACCAGGGCCTCCCAGGAACACTTGGTTATATTGCTAAGGAATTGATTCGCCATGGTCTCCCTGAGGTCAATTCTGGAGCCAAATTCCCCCACCTCTCCCCTTCCAAACAATGGGACCCCTGTAGGCCCCAGTGTATGGGGGTAAGGGCTTGGCTAATGCCAGGCCCAAACCAAGAGAGGGGTGGCACTGGGGCCTGAGGAATGGGCCCTGCTGTATTACCACTCTCAGGACCCCCAACCTGGATATCCCTTCTGGGACATGGGAGGGGCTGGCTCAGACCGGAGTTCATCTTCTCCTACAGATGAGGCAACTGAGGCCCAGGGAGCCCCAGCAGGGGGCAGGCAGGGGATCTAGGGCCCCTCGTGCCCTCTGTCCTTCTAGCACATGGCCTGGAGGACAGGCATCTGGGCAGCTTTAAGGGCAAGGGGACAGTGGGCTGGAAACACTGGAGTGGCTCAGGTTCAGGTGGGGCCAAGCGGCTGAGGCCCCACAGCAGAGGGAAAGCAGCCTGGGGAGAAGAGGAGCAGGAGCCGGGTGAAGGGGGTGGGCTCAGCAGGCTCAGGATGGGGAAGCTGGTGGGCACAGCGGGAAGCAGGATAGGGCAGGAGGGGAGGGACCCCAGGCCACCAGAGCTGAGGCTCAGTGACAACACGCCTGGTTGACAGACCTGAGGGATCAGGAAGAGACAGGCAGCACCACAGCCTCTAGGGAGATGGTCACTTGGGCCACATCTGAGCAGATGCCTAGGAAGGGGACGGCTCATGGGACAGAGCAGAATCTGGAGACCCAGAGGATACACTGACCCTGGTAGGTCAGAGAAAGAGGAGATTAAATAACCCCGCCCATGTCCCCAGGGCAGATTGGGATCTGGAAAGACAGACTGCCCATTAAGATGTCCAAAGCCTACGGTCTGCATGGGGCCGTGCTTGGACACAGAGCAGAGCACAAGGGCCTGGAGCCGCAGGTGGAACCAGAGCAGGGCTCACCTGCAGCAGTCTGGCCCTGGGCCCTACCAGGCTCTTCTTCACGGAAGCTTAAGGAAAAGAACAAAGACAGACTCCCCAAGTCCTAGAGCAAGCTTGGAAAACCTCTGTAATTCAGCGTCCCCGCCACAGGGCATGGCGTTGTCCTGCGGGCGGCAGGCATTGCTCACTGCGCCTTGGCCTTCAGCAGGAGCCTCTGGACTGTCTTGTAGAGGAGGTCAAAGTGCTGTGGATAGATGGGTGGCGTGTGGGGTGAGGTCGGGGCCACCTGTAGGCCCAGTTGCAGGTCAACCCTACCAGTCCCCAGGGTGCCCACCAGCTCACCTGGACTGCTGTGTAGGCCATCCCAAGGTAGGCACCAATGCAGACAGCCAGCAGCAGGTCGAAGATGGCCGGCTTGACCCTGGAGCATGGTCGTGTGAGTAGAATGAGCAGAGGATGTGCCAGTGCAGCCAGCTCCCTGGATGCCCTCATGGATCATGGTCCCCTGGCTCACTTGTGGACACAGGGCACTCGCTGATCACCACTCACCTGTACGCATTCATCACCTGCTTCAGCTGGTCATAGAAGACAAACTCAGGGTCCCTGGGGAGACACCACTTGCTCAGTGGCTCACTCACCCCACAGCCAGCCTGGCCCAGGCCACATCCTATCCTCAGCTCCTTCTCAGAGACCACTACCGACCAGATACAGTAGCAGACACTGGCCCACCCGGCTGCCAGCCCAACTGTGCAACAGTGACAATGTTCACTCTGAAGACATGCTCCCTTCTACATTTGTGGGTATTGAAACAAGCTCTCTAAAACTACAACAGAGTGACCAGAACCTTCACTGGTCTGCGAAACATTTCTGGTGAGGGGGGTGATCATGGCTCCATAGCTGGGGGTCCATTCTGAGCCTTGGTACCCTCTCCTGTGCAGGACCCATCTCCACACAAGCTGTGAGGACCCACAGGCAGGCAGGAAGGAGGTGAGCAGCAAGGGGAACAAAGCCATCTGGAGCTACTTCCTGCCTCTCCTACTGCAAGGCCCTGAGCTGTGGCTCCACCCACTTGGGAGGAGCACAGGAGCCCTGAGCACAAAAAAACAAAACCCAGGGCTCCTAGGTTGCTGGAGGCCCACAGTGAGAGAACTGCCGGGCAGGGGGTGGGGTGCAGGCGGCCAGATGAAACACTGAGCACCGATGTCAGTTACCCTTTCTAGGTAAACTCTTGGCACTAGACATGCGAATACACTTCTGCTGAGGCCCAATACCGAAGGCTCACAAGGCACCCTGTGTCCTTCACTCTGTTTTGTATTTCCTCCTGCCCTGCCTGGGGTGGGGACAGAAGGCTCCAGGATGTTCAGCAGAGCCGTGGAGACAGCAGGGCGGCCACAGGGCTCACCGCTTGTCAGCCTTCACATGGTGCTGCCGCACGTCCTTCAGGTAGCGGCCCAGGAAGTGCTCGAGGGTGCTCAGGAACGTGCCGTCCTTGTCCAGCAGTTGTGCGGCGCGAGGCTGATTGGTGAGCCAGTCCATCACGGAGTCCAGCTGCTCCTGCTGCACCTGCTGTAGGCAGCTTGGTCACCGCCCAGACCAAGTGTGTGTCCACAGTCCCAGACCCCTGCCTGGACCTCCCCTTACCATCTGCTCTGTGAACACTGGCATGTCTGGGGGTGTCCCCTGCGGAGAGACAGAGGGACACAGACTGAGTCTGGCAGTGGCAGGGGCAGGGGCAGGTTTGGCCTGGGGTGAGGGGGGTGGACAGGAGGGGCCTCACCTTCTCTGTGAGGTTGTAGATGACCCGCGTCAGCGCCTCTGCAATGATCCTTGTGTTGCGTGTCAGGGTCTTGGAGTCCACCCGGGACCTGCAGCGGGAAGGGTGACCCCGGAACCCAAGGTGAGTGCTCACCAGGCAAGGAGCATCCAGGCAAGCAGGTGGCTCCCGTGGGGCTCAGGGCTTCAGGGGATGCCCAGCCCTGGAACCTGGGCTTCTCATCTGGAAAGTGGGAGATGGTGGCACCTCTCCCAGGGTAGCTCCTCCACACTGGGGCAAACCATGCGCCCCAAAACTCATGTCCACCTGGACCCCCTCAGACAGACTTTACTTGGAAACAGAATCTTTGCAGATGGGATGAGTTAAGATGAGGTCAGGCTGGAGGAGACTGGGCCCTAAATTAAGTGGATAGGATCCTTGTGAGAAGACACAGATGAATCGTGTAACACAAAACAGAGGCTGGGGTGACACGGTCACAGCCTAGAAACGCCTGGAGCCGCAGATGCTCAGAGAAGGAGGAAGGAATCCCCCCCCCCCCACCCAGGTCTCAGAGGGAGGACAGTCTGAAGACTGGGCTCTTGGACTATGGTCTCCAGAGGGATAGAGGACCCACTTGTGTGTGCTAAGCCTCATTTGTGCCTCCTTCTTCCTATGCCTCCAGTAGGGACATGGGTGGGACATAGGGGAAGCTAGGGTTCAGGAGGCCTGCGGGGGCATAAGGTAAAGGGGCCCAGCACTGGCTGTCTTTCTGCTTGACAGAAAGGAAGACTTGAGAAGGAAGCTACCCCACCCCCCCAAGAAGGTTCTGGAAGGTGGCACTCACCGAACATCCATGATACTGTTCCGCTGGCCATCCCTGTGGCTCTCCAGGTGGGAAAGGGTGAAAGCGGGCAGCCGGCGGATGGCGAAGCGCTCGTGTTCCCACGCCAGCACGTCATCAGCCAGGTTGATCTTCTTGTGCACCATAGAGAACCGCACCTCGGGGAACTGGTGGGTGGCCACCTGCAGCCCAGGCAAGTCAGGGTGGGGAGAAGCCACTGGGGTCTCAGGAGCTAGCTGCTGCTTGGCTCAACCCTGGCCGTCTCCACACTCAAGTTCTGGGCGTGGGAAGCGGGGATGACCTGAGGCTCGCTCCACACCCTGTGCGCACAGGACTTGCTAGCTACTAGGCCAGGGGGACTTGAGGGGCTACTCCCAGGCAGGACACCCTTGTGGCCCAACCTGAGTGCAAGGTGAGCACTGCCTGGGGCCCCAGCACCCACCGTTTCAAGCTCCCGCAGGAAGGCATGCTGCAGCGTCCCCTCCCGTGGTGGCTTAGACACGTGCAGGTGCAGCTGGCTGCCCCGGCCCACAGTGTCCAGGCACAGGACGAAGGCCACGTTGTCCTGAAGCAGGCTGGAGTCTGTGGGCCGTGGAGGGCTCAGGGGCGGCAGGAGCAGGAGGCTCCCCCGCCCCCCGCCCCAGCACACAATGCTCTCACCTGTGTGGTCCAGGTTGTCCTCCAGCCAGCGCTTGGTGCCCTGGTAGTTAAACTTGCCCCCTCCTGAGGCAAAGAACAGCAGGTTGTACCTGGGGGCGGACCAGGGTGTCAGCTTGGACAGGAAAGGTCCTGGGGTGGAGGAGGGACAGGTGCCAGCTTGTGGGTCCCAAGGAAGAGTACAATAGGCCCGGAGGTACCTCCAGAAACTCTTCCGGGACTAGCTCCCCTGGGCACTGTGCACATGGGGTGAGTACTCCTCTTTGGGGCATCTGGGCACTGAGCAGTGTCCCTGGCCTTTACCCACTCCATACTCCCCTTTTGTGATAGCCACACATGTCCCCAGATGCTGCATAGGGTCTCTGGGGCAGGGCTATCCCAGGTAAGGCCCTTGCTCTACTGCCTTCTAAGCTCTGAACATCAGGAGAAAGCAGGTGGACAGAGCAGGATGCTGACACAGGCCAGGATGGGACTGTCCTTATGAATAGCCATAGGGCTCAGCACAGCTTCCTCTGACATAGGACTGAGGTCAGAGGAGCCAGGAGGGACTCCGTCCACTCTAATAGCCCCTGTGCGCTTCTATGGTGACCAGCTGCAGTGACAGACACCCATGAGATCTGGTCCTGCCTGGAGGACCAAATCTGCCCTCCTCTCACTCAGCACTCCTGCACTCACTGCAGGATGAAATTCATGACCTGCTGGAGCCTCACAAATGGCCTGCCTTAGAAAAAGGGACTTTGCTGCTATCACCCATTCTGGAGTGGGGGAGGCTACACAGAGATACAGCCATGTGAGGACAGAGACAGACACTGGGGTTACATGGCCACAAGTCAGAAACACCTGCAGTCCTTGGTATCTGGTCCGTGGGGACCATGAAACTGGGATTTCAGAAGACTGCAGGGGCCTTGTAAACCAAGTGTGTCCCAAACCTGCGGGGAAGCACTCCTGATAAGGCCATGTCTGCCTCCTGCCCCACAGGCTGAAACCGACCTTGGGCTGAAACCACTCAAGAAAAATGGTCTGTTGCTGAGCATGGCAGCCCCTTCCTTGAATGACATGGCAGGACAATGACACAGGATCACAGGCTCAGAGTTACTTAGTGGTGAAGTCCATGGGGGGCTGCACAGGCTCTAATACTGGGGTTGGAACAACCTGGCCCCACAGAGCAAGGACAACTGCGGACACTCCCTGCCCCATACTTCAGTTTGCTCAGTCTGGCCCTTCACCACCTGCGTACTGTGACCAGGTTAGAACAGTAGCAGCCGGCTGAGCCCAAGTCATTCCTAGCTGTCCCCTGGTTGTCCACAAGTCAGCTAATCCAGGCAAGCCCACTGATGCTGGCTGAGGGTGAAGTGGCGGGTGGGGCGGGGGTAAAGATGTCAGCCTCAGGCTCCTTATTAAGAAGGATGTCCTCGGCCAAGCACTGGTGGCTCATGAGGATCGTGGTTCAAAGCCAGCCATGGCAAATAGTTCACAAGAGCCTATCTTGAAAAACCCATCACAAAAAAGGGCTGGTGCAGTGGCTCAAGGTGAAGTCCCTGAGTTCAAGTCCCAGTACTGCAAAAAAAAAAAAAACAAGAACAAGAACAAAACCAAAAAAAGAATGTCCTCCCTTAGCCCCATCTTTATCCCTTCTGAACTAAAGACATGCACATGACAGTCACTTTGTGACAGTGATGAGGTTGAGAAAAATTTCAGACACCGTGTCCCTGACCTCTCATAGCTGCTGGCCAGTGCCTAGGGTCATGGTATCTGCGCAGAGCGTCAGAGCTGTCTTCGCTTAAACCAGCTCACGCTAGGGCAAGCCTGTCCCCAGAGGGTGCTGGGCCATGTCTGCAGCCATGTGTGGCTGTCACAGCTCAGGGAGCTCCTAGCCTAGATTGGCAGAGACCAGGGACACTGCTCAGAACCTGCAATGCCAGGACACCCCCCAAGAATGACTCCTGGCCAAGCTTTCAGGGCCCAGTGCAGGGCCATAGTTCTGTAACCTTTTAGCTAGTTCTGTTCCTTGCACTGACAGCTTCCCTTCTGGTCCCTGTGACTGACAGCAGTAGGGCCTCCTGTGTGGGGTTGAAGCACTACACGCCCACAACCCTCAGCCTGTGCATGGCACAGTCAGCAACACTCACGCAGCATGCGTGCGCTTGTAGGTGTACAACCGGGAGAAAAGGCGGGCTAGCTCCAGCAGCACAGAGATGCCACTCCCGTTGGAGTCCGCACCAAGTGACAGCCACTGTTGGGGGGAGGGGGAGAGAGAGACAAGATGGGTCAGTCACCCCAGCTAGGGCTGCCAGGCTTCCACCACCCACACCCACCACCTCGAGGTCTGTTAACAGCCAACTCGAAACTGTCCCCCATCAATCTTGCTTCTGTTCCATGTCTAATGTGTGGCTGGCTCACTCCCCACCTACTCATACCCCTGCTGACTTCGTCCCAGTATGGAGGCCTGAGATTCCTCCCACGTCTTGTGGGAGGCCCAGTCTGACAACCCGGCCCTCCAACTAACGTTTCTTAGAGAGAGGAAGAAATACTGGAGCACTGTGATGACTCGGGACCATCCCAAGATCACAGTGTACAAATAGTAGTGGTGGCATCAAAATTCATTAGGGTGACATTGCATTTGGTGAGAGAACCCAATGAAACGTCCACAACAGGCAAATCCGCAGACGGGAAGTGGAACTGTGGAGGCCAGGGGCTGGGAGGAGGACGGGATGACTGCTTATGGGGTCAGGGCTTCCTTGTAGTGATGGAATGTTCTGGAACCCGAAAGAGGTGATGGCTACACAATTCTGTGCATATGCTTAAAAACTAGGTTTGAAGCCCTATGAAACTGTGTTTGAAGGTGATGGCCACCTGTGATCCCAGCATTCAGGAGGCTAAGGCAGGAGGATCACGAGTTCCAAGCTAGCCTGGGCAACACAGTCAGACCCCATCTCAGAAAACACCAAGGCCTGGGCTGTTGCTCAATGGTGAACACTTCCCTAGCATGTGCAAGACCCTGGGTTTATCCCCAGCACTGCAAAACGAAAAAAAAAAAAATTATGCCTAAAAACTACTGAATTGCACACTTTAAAGGGTAAGATTTTTTTTCTTTTGTGGGACCAGGGTTTGAACTCTGGGCTTTGCGCTTGTAAAGCAAGTGCTCTGTCACTGGAGCCACTCCTCCAGTCCATTTTGTCCTGGTAGTTTGGAGATGGGGTCTCCCGAACTATTTGCCTGAGCTGGCTTTGAACCCCAGTGCTCCTAATCTCAGTCTCCCAAGTAGCTAAGATTACAGGTACCTGGTAAAGAGTGAGTTTTATATCATATAAACTAAATTCTTACACTGTCACAGAGGTGTTAGAACAAAACTGTCTAAAGAGTGCATGAGAATGAGGGCCTGGAGGCATAATTCTATGCTGCCTGCCAGGTTTTCCTCTGATTCTGCTGCTCAGTGTCCTCAGAACTGGACTTGACCTGGCGGTTGGGATGCTCACTCCTGTCACCATTATGGCAGCCACCGCACACTGGCGCCATCTGCCGGCCACTCCCCATCGCCCTGCAGCTGATTTCCTTTCCAGATGCTGTGAAGAACTGTGGGAGTGGGCCAGGAAGCACATACTTACAGGGGCCACCCCGAAGGCGTCGTAGTGGGCCACAATGACGATGGTGGGGAGGTCCTCTCCGCCCAGCCCCGTTAGCCGCCCCTGTGGAGACAGCTGTGAGTGGCCTTCTCCCACACCTTCTGCGGCCCTCGTCCCACAGGAGACAGCTGGATTCTGGGAGCCTGAGGGAACTCCCAGGTGAGGAGGAGCCAGGTAAGAGGGCAGGAGACAAGCTTTCCAACAGAAAAGGCAGGCCCCATCCCCAGGGCCCCGTACTGCCTCCTCCCTCTGCTCCACCCTGCCCAGGCTGCCAACTCTCAGCTTTGAGGACTAGAGAGCTCTGTTCCAACTACTCGGGAAAGTCACCATAGAGGACAAGCATTGTGGGTGTGGCTGCGTTAATAAGACTTTACAGAAGCAAGCAGAGGTTGCAGTAGCCATGGCCACATTTGGCTGAGCTCTGGTCTGGCCAGCAAGACATACTCCAGCTGGAGTCAAGGCCATCGAAAGAGGAGCTCAGAGCTGACACCCATGGAGACAGCACTGTTTCAGGAACTCAAATGACAAAAGCCTGAGGCTCCTGGGTCTCACCACCACGCTATGATGACACAGCAGGCCGCAGGACTTGGGGGGGATAAACCAGTGCTGGACTCACCACAAACGGCACAGGCACTCAGTCAGTCCCACAGTCTCTGCTCCTCCCTGGAGCCCAGATCTCAGGCCAGGCCCCACCACAGGATCAGCACACAGCACAGCCCACCTTCCCCTGTTTCCCCAGGTCACAGTCCCCTCTGTCCCCCAGCCTGAACATCCACAGCCACATCTCACGTCCAAGATCCCACCAGCTAGCACAGGCCACAACCAGGCCACCAAGCGCAGTAAGCTGCTGCAGAGGGCCAGGCCTGGGAACCAACATGGATGGAGGGAGGGGCCACAGCTTCCTCCTATAACATGGCCCAACCTGAACATCGACAAAAGGTGGGAGAGCGTGGGGACTCGGGGGATGCAGGGATGCAGGACCACAGCTTCTGGCTCCAACCTGTCCCTGGCTCCCAGTGAGCAACAGAGAAGCTTCTAGAAGCCAATGGTGAGGTGGCTGCACAGGCCCTGGGGCCGCTCTGCTGCCACCCTGTATGTCAGACAAAGTGCAGCTGGGCCTGGCTTGGAGCGGGGCAGCAAGGGCAACTGGCCAGCAGGGTTGTCTGTACTGCTTGGATCACCACACGCTTCTGTGCAGCTCACAGCGGAATGGCCCGTTTCATTTTCAACCCGCCATCTTCTCCTCACTGTTACTTCAATGCATGGCGGCTTCCCACACCCTCCACAGGGCCTGTACAGCCCAGACTCGCCAGCCCTCTATGCGGCGGCCCAGTCCACCATGTCCTGGCCAATCTGCTGGGCTGCAGGCCTCAGCATGGATTTCCACCACAGCTGGCCATCCCTGAGCTCCCTGCAGGCTGGCTGCATTCACCCTTGGTGCATGCTAACCACCCTCAGTTTTTGGAGGGGTGGACAGCATCTCCCTCACTGCTGCCTCCTGCCTACCATAGGGACTTAAATAGTATTTCCTGGAAGGAGGAGCCAGCCAGAACAAAGGCCCTGGGGTGGGACTGGGTGGCAGCATGGCATGTGGAGGGCTAGCAGGGGCCACAGAGTGGCTTTTTGGTCACGGTGAGGACTTGGGGCTTTGTCAGTGGGGTGGGTGACAGAGGACTCCACCTGTTTCCCTGTCAGTGGCTCCCTCTAGTGGGCACTGAGTGGTGAGGTGACTTGATACTGTCCAGGGGAGGAAGGGCAGCCAGGCCCCAAGCTCATGGAGGCAGGAGGGTCAGGTGGGGCTCCAGGCACTCACCTCCACGCTGGTGATCAGCCAGTCACTGACAGCCTTGCTCTGCACTCCGCTGGTGACCATCTGAAAGCCGTTGGCAGTGGCCGTGTGCAGCAGCACTGAGGGTAGGAGAGGGACGGGTCACCAGAGCTTCCAGACCAACACTGCAGGCTCTGGGCATGCAGGTATACGTGCCAGGATGGTCCTCTTAGGACACAAATCCCTTCCCCTACTGTCTGCCAGGCAATCTCCCTCAGCACCATCCTGTTGCTTGACCCTGGCCACTTCCCCTCCAGCCTGGCCAGCGCTGCCCTCAAACTAAGTCTGCACTTTTGTTCTCCATGCTTTAATACAACACCATCAAGGGCTGTAGTGCAGCTCAGTGGGGAGTGCCTGCCTAGCATATGCCATGCCCTGGGATCCACCCCCACGACCAATGGTTGAATTGCTGTGGATGCATAAACTGTTATCACTACCCAGGAACTCACTGTAGCATTTCTGCAACTCCTTTTGAGTGTCAGCATATTTCAAAATAAAAAGCTACTGAGCTGAGATTAGTTATGTTGGTTTTCCATCCTGCCCTTTTCTACAAACCAATATAAAGCAAACAACTGCCCATGCCTACAAAAGTCCTAACTACACATCGTTTGTAACAGCTGTGTAATACTCCACGAAGGATGGTTTTGCTCTCTTTCTCGATCTGTATGTTTAGGCATTTCCAAATACTCGCTGTGAAAGTGGGCACTGTCCAGATGTTCTTGGAGACTGGGGTGGGAAACTAGACACTGGAGAGGTTAACACTTTCAGTTTTGTGGATGGAAGGCAGGCCACGGGCAATGCCTAAGTGGACGGTGTGAGCCAGCAAAACTTTATTTACAAAACAGGTGCCCACAGGCCAGTGTGCACCAGACCTAACTGAGAGGAGGGACCTTTTTCTACAGTCTCCACCTGTTACAAACCTGCTTCCCAAGGAATCAGAGCAGCAGCGGCCAGCAACCCAGCCTGCCTTCCACACTTTAGGGTCTGGAGCATATTAGCAGCTTTGTGTGTGATGCTGCATATGAACCCAGACCTTGCACCTGCTTGGAGCCATACCCAGACCCTAGCCTCTTTTTCTTTTTCTTTTTTTTGCAATACTGGGGCTTGACTCAGGGCCCCAGGCTTGCTAGGCAGGCCGACCACTTGAGTCACTCCTGAGTAGCTAGTATTACAGGCATGAGCCACCAGCATAGACTAGCTTCCTTTTTTTTTTTTTTTTTTTTGCAGTGCTAGGGTCTGAACTCAGGACCTACACCTTGAGTCACTCCACCAGCCCTGTTATGTGATGGGTTTTTTCAAGATAGGGTCTTGTGAATTATTTGCCTGGACTGGCTTTGAACCACGATACTCCTGATCTCTGCCTCCTAAGTAGCTAGGATTACAGATGTGAGCCACCAGTGCCCAGCTGGCTTCTTTTCATTCCTATTTGACAGCTGACAGTGGCCTCTGGCAGGTCCATGTCTCTGACCATTCCTGGTGTCTGTCTCCAAACGGCAGCCCACATCCCGTTTCCTCCTAGACAGGGCAAACTACGGTGCCCGAGGTGCAGGAGATGGGCTGCTCCTTCCCTCTGTGGACACTGCGGAGCCCAACCAGCCTGTGCAGATCAGCTGAAGGACAGAACAAATGGATACCACATTTTCCCTAAACCATACAGGGAGCAGAGCTGGCCACCCTGTAAGCCGGCTCCAGACACCCTGTGCAGGACCAGAGGCTACCCAAGTGCAGAGCCCAGGGTCCAGACCCCAGTCGTTGCCCCGAGGGTCTGAGTGGGACCTATCTCCCTGCAGAACTTGGGTGGAGACACAGGTCAGAACTACCAGGGTCCCGGCCCAGTGGCCAGGAAAGCCCAGGGAATCACCCACACCTGTCCAGAGACTGGAACGCACCTTCGGCAGCAGAGGCAGAGCCCCGAGAGGTGGAAGCAGCCTGGGTCTGCTCGTAGATGGACAGCAGAGCCTCATCCTCCACGGCAAAGTACACGGGGACCACAGTCTCCATGGCCAGCATCTCAGGCTCCATCTCCATGAATTGCTGCGGGAGACCACGTTCAGGGGGAGGGAGAGGGCAGCCCCTCACATGGGATTTCCTGTGGGTCCCAGCAGGTCCTCCGCACTGAAAGCAGGGGACTTGGTACTGTGGACACCAAGCTGGGTCGTTTTCTTTGGGGGGTCCTGGGTCCTGCAGGGTGCTGAGCAGCACCCCAGCCCCCACCCACTCTACGCCAGGAGCTCCCCTCCCTGAATGCTACCAGACATTGGTCAGTGCCCCCGGATATCGAATCACCCTCAGACAGAGTCAACGATGAAGGAATAAACACCCCACCTCCGAAGGGCTCAGAGAGGCGAAGTAACCTGCCCAAGGTCACCAGCTGACTTCACATCTGGGGGAGCTGAGCCTGTTGGGGAGGGGGTGGCTCACCCGGACAACGTCCTGGGGCACAGCAGCCATGGCCCGCGGCAGGATGATGACCACGGCGCCCGCTGACTGCCGCAGGGCCTTCTGGTACTGCTCATAGGAGAAGTCCACCAGCCGCATGAGCACGCAGCGGCGGCTCAGCACGTCCGCGTCCACCGTGCGCGCCTCCGTGTTGAGCACCGCATTCCTCGTGCCTGTGGAACAGGGATGGTCACCTCCTGTTCCCGCCCCAGTCCTGCAGGGAGACCAAGTCAGACCCTCCCAGGGTCCCCACAGCCCTGTCCCATCACAGGCACCCCACGCACTGGTGAGTCAGACCTGAGATGCTACTGGAAGCCAGGGCCCCTCCCTAGGAGAACCCTCGGTGCCCGGCGCCCAGAGAGCAGCGCTAGTGAAGACGGTGGACCAGGCCTGGGCCCTGGGCTGTTGGGCCCTTGTTCTAGAGGGTTCAGGGTCTGTGGGCACAGCCCTGAAACTCATTCCCAGACCCTGGTTTACCCACACCGAGGATGTTAGGAAATGAGGACTCCAGCACCCTCAGGGACAAACCTGAGCTGCTCGCTGAGCCCCTCCTACCCCGGCTATCTACTCCTGACACCTCCTTCCCTCCCTTTCCTGACCCCAGGCGCTGCTTCACTACCAACTTCTCCAGCCACGGGGCCCCTGGGGACAGAGGACTTGCTCATAGCAACACTTCCCCAGCATGGTCACCAGCTCTCAACAAACACCAACCAGCTAGACCAAGGAAGGAACCTCTGATGTTCCCTAGAAAGGCCACTGATGACTAGGAGCTCCCCTGGGCACTGTGGGTTCTATAGGTGCGGAGCAGTGTCCCTGACCTCCACCCACCATGCCAGGAGCTCCCCAGCTCTCACAGCCACACGTGTCCCCAGACAGGTGCCCTGGAAACAAGGTAGCAGCCCTGCCCTATACCCAGTGCCATCCCCCATGTCTTTTCTGAGAGCCTAGAAAGAACTGGGGAAGTCTGAGAGACAGCAACACCCACATTTTCTCTCAGACAGGCCAGCCCCCAGCTCTGTGGTGACCCAAGTCCCCACCTGGGCACTGATGGCTGGAGGGGACCAGAAAGCTGTCCCCTCTAGGACTGGTTGCCCTCAGACACTGCAGGCACCACTGGCTGCCTGGAGATTCATTTGGAAACACTTGGCCAGGGGAAGGCATCCAGAAAACACCACGCGTACTGTGTCCATATCACTGCAGAGGGACACAGGTACAGACTCTCAAGGGCCACCTGTCCCCACGGACTGGTGGGAAATGGGGCCTGGGGAAACAGCCTGGCTCTTTAGGAATAACAAATCAGCTTGAGCTTTTCTAGACACAGACTCAGAACACACCTGCCATGGACATAAGTGTCAGCAGAGGCAGGAGGCTTTCACTAAATGCTGCGCCTCAAGGACCCACCAGGACCACTGTCTCCAAGACCCAGTCTCCCGAGCTCCAGAACCCCTCGCTTGTCTGTGGGGCAGGATACACAGCAGGCACTGCATAAATGGCTGAACTCACACACACATGGGTCACAGGGTACGCCCAAGACGGCAACCCTGCACACAGGTCTAGGACCCGGAGTCACAACCCTGGAGAGCACAGGCCACTACAGGGCCAGCACTTGGCTGGGATGTGGCCCAGATGGCCACACCAGGTAGCCAAAGCCCGTCATACTTCTGTAAAACCACCCAGATATCCAAGGCAAAGACAGTTTTCAGTGTTTCAAACACTGCACACATCAAATGCACAAAACCAACCAGAGGTCCAAAGCAGTGCCAAATGTGGCACTGGAGACCACCACCTTGAGACCCCCAAAGAAGCACTAAGGAATAAGGGTGCAGAGAGCTAGCTCTGTGTCCTGAGGATGGGGCCACAGGAGCTTCTGGGAGAAGTGACAACCTGCGTTCAGCCCACTGTTGCCTGGAGCCCAGGCTTGGGGCCAGGAGCACATATCCGTCTCTGTGCTCCAGGAACCAAACCGGCTGTCTGGAAGGCAGCAGGCAGAGGGCCTGGCCCAAAAGCCATCCAGATGGGCCGCTCAGGGAGGGGACAAGCAGGACCTGGAAGGGATACCTGCCTCAGGTAGGAAGGGCAGCAGCTGAGAGCCAGCTGTGAGGCCATGGCCCAGGTACAGCAGGCTTGGGCTCTGTGGCCTCTGCTCCCCTCCCTCAGAATCTTGCTCCACAGAAAAGACAGCAAAGACCTGAGGATGTCCCTGGAGTACTGGAGATGCCCCTCCTCGATTCGCCTGCCCCCAAGAGCCCTTGGCCTCCCGGGGCAGTTCAGAGGCCACTGACTGCTTCCTCCAAGGCCCCTTACTGAGGGTACTGTGTGCCTCTCGAAAGCCAAACTACAGCAGGGCAGGACTCGGAACCCACAGTCCTGAGGGGAATTGAGGCCAGAGGGTCCAAGGCCCCAAGCATGCCAGCTGGCACGGGTCGAGTGCCAGCAACCCCCAGAGTCCTGAAGGTCAGTGCCCCCCACTTCAGGATGAAGACCTGCCCAGGCTGAGCCCTGTTCCCCCTCTCATACCTGCCCCTGTGGGGCCCATGGGAGCAACACTGGATGTGCCCGTTTGGGGCAGTGGAAGGGGGTCCTACCCTACCAAGACAGTGCTTGCCAGGGTTGCACAGCTTGCCCAGCCAGTGTGGACAGAGCCCTCCATGGATGGCTCTGTCATCTACAGCACCAGTTCTTGTGGCCTGCGTTTGCACAGTGAGGTGGCACTTGGTAGATGCCACAAAGGTGGGCACAGGGCACATACAGGTGGTGCTGGCCCCAGAGCAGGACCAGCCCGGAGCAAAGGACCACACGATTTCTATCGAGGGCCAGATGGCCTATCTTTCCACTCCACTGGGCACACGGTCTGCCCTCTCAGTGTGAAGGCAGACAGAGGCATACACACGATTGTGCGCCAATAAAACTTTATTTACAACTGTAGGAGGGGGGCCAGAGCAGGTCTACAGGTCATACATAACTAGCTGATCTCCTGATAAGGACCCCTCACCAGTGCACCAGGCACAGGCTGGGGAGCCAGGCCTCAAGAGTGTTAAGGGGTCACCCTCCCACCTCACAGGCGCCTCCTACAGGTGAGCGAGGCTCCAAACACAGCAGGGCGCACACATCGCGCTCAACAAACCACACTGAGAAGGCTCTTGACTTAAGGAGGGCCAGAGTTCACCTGGCAGGAGGAGTGGCCAAGCCAGCCACAACCTTGTACCTGGCTGATAACCTGGGCAGTTCACACCCACCACAGCACCTCTCTGGCCCTGTAGGGCCATCCCTTCTCAGCAGCCCTGCTGCATTTCTCAACAGCGGCCGGAGGAAGTTGGGTAAGGAGTTCCTGGCCGCAAAGCACTGTGGGCTGCAGCTGGGGGACCACTTGGGGCCAGGTCCGGGTGGGGAGAGTGACTTATGTGCGGGTTCTTGAAAGCTGGTCCTTCTTTCCATTCCCTCCACGGTGGCAGAGGTGTGTGCCCTGCCCCTGTTTGGGGCATCAGGAATGGGACCTTTGCCTTCCTGGGCTACAGACAGGAAACACGAGGGCAGGGACAGGTGGCTGTCCCATGGGCCCCTCTGCTCACCTGCCAAATCTACAGTCCTGGTCCTGGCTGGCGGGGCAAGGGAAGGCCCTTGGGAGGGAGCAGGCGGCTTCCTGCCTTCTCATCAGGAGCCGGGAAGGACAGCATAGGGGAGCGGCCACCAAGTCACCCACAGAATGGGAGGGTTCCCAGGCCAGGTTTAGAGGGCCAGAAGAAGGGAAAGAGAGAGAGGCTGCAGGGAGGAGCTGAGGAAAAGGGGCCGCTTCGACCACATGCGGCCTTTGGGCATCGTCAGGGTGCCCGGGCCAGCTGACCACATCCCACCACCCAAGGGCTGGGACAGGGTAGCTGTGGGGGGACGGTGGCAGTGCCCTCAGCAAGGCTCTGGCAATATAAGCAGGCAGGGGCAGAGCTCAGGCCCAGGAGCTGCATTTGGAACCATGGATGGTTCTGGAAACCCTCTGGCACTCCAGAGCTGTGCTGCCCAGCGCAGTGGCTACTAGCCACAGCCCCTCAGCCACCCCTGGCTGGTGGCTTCTGAACAGGCAAAGGTACAAATGGTGAATAAATGGTGACCACCCGCTAAGACCCTTCCCCAGGAAGACACCAGGCAGCCAGTAAACCGCGCCGCGGCATCAAGAGCCTCTAGCCATCGCTCCCCGCCTGCGGACCTGGGGGCCCGGGTTCAGACCATCCCTGAGCCTGGGGTCCCAGCAGGACAGTCCGGTCCAGAACACACGGGCTCAGAACCGGAGAACATGGGCAGGGGACCCGTTCACAGGGAGGTCAGGCCTTGACTCTCAGGCTGGAAGAAGGCAAACCAGGGACCAGAAGGTTCCAGAATACCAGACCCGGCCCCGGTCAAGACACAGGAGGGCCCGGGCCCGAGGCCGGCGCAGGACCGGGGACGGGGGCAGGTGGAGGGTTCGGAGGACGAGGCGGCTGAGCTGAGGGCCTAAGGGGACCTGCAGGACCGGCTGCGGGAACGGGTGGACGGCCGGGCCGGGGACTCGGAGGGACAGCTGGGCCCGGGGCGGGGCGCACGCACCGTAGGGCTGGCCCTGCAGGTCGTACTGCTGCATGCGGTACACCGTGAACTCGTGCGCGGCGTCAGCGGCGGGCAGCGGCGGCGCCACTAGCAGCAGCACCGCGGGCAGGAAAACGATGAAGCCAAGCGGCAGACACGACGCCTTCAGCATATTCTCCAATACTTCGCCCGCTTCCTCCAGCATCCTGGCCAGCGGCGGGGCCGCGCAAAGCGGCGGTGATGAACCGGACGGGGACGGGACGACAGCGACGGCTACCGCACACTCACCTCAGCATGGGCAGCCGCTGGGGTCCTTCAGGCACGGCGCCGGGCAACCCGCGCTAGCCCAGGGTCCTGCAGGCATTGCCGCGGACAATCCTATGGGACGCGCTGCCTCCCGGGTGTTGTAGGCCCATTGGCGCGCGCTCAGCCCCCTGGAAGTTGTAGGCCCAATCTGGAACTTCCCAAATGAAGCCATAGAAGACTGGCTAAAGCTACTGAAATTTCACATAAACTCCAACTTGGAAAATATAGAGGCTTTAAAGTGCTATTTTTCTGTAGCACTTGCTTGAACCCTGCGTTCGGCATGGGGGGAGGGGGCAAGAATTGGAGGCAGGACATGACCTTGTGACCTGGAAGTGGAGTGAAGGAAAAAGGCTGTGGTCCGCTCTCGCGCTATGCTTCCTGGGAATAGCAGTCCCATAATGTGACGCGCAAAGTGTCATGGGAGCTGTAGTCGTCCCGTAGTTACTGAGGTGTGGGGGGGCGGATTTTAAATTCCCAAGGAATGTAGATGTTAAACTGCATGAGGGCTCAGACTTTTGCCTGATTTGTGTATCCCTAAGTTCTTCAGCACAAAGCCTGACACCCAGTAAGTGGTCTATACACTTTGGGGGTGAATGAATGAAAAAATGATTTTAAAAATTAGGCTATGCGGTGGCTAAGGTGATGTTGCAGTTGCTTCCGGGATTTGTAGTCTGGAGGCTGGAGTTATGCTGCGGTTAGTGGTAAACTTGTTTGTAATTATCCTTACTTACATTTGGGGCATACTTACACTGCTTATTGGAAATTCAAATTTGAGTGTCCCATATCGGTGTTGCCCTAATGTGACAATCCTAACAATTCAGCGTCTCGAAAGAATTTAAGCTGTGAATTAAAGTTAGATCAGGAACTGGCACCCCTCCGTAGATAAGAAGTTAGGGACAGGGTGCAGACATCATCGGCCTCAGCCAGTGGATCTGTTTTTTATGACCTTAAGCCCCGTGCTCACAATACACCCTGGCACAATGGATGGATGGGTGGATGGACGGATGGATGGACAATCAGACGGATGGATGGATGAGTATGAGTGGATGGGTGGATGGATGGATGGGTGGATATGGATGGGTGGATGGATGGATGGGTGGGTGGGTGGATATGGATGGGTGGATGGATGGATGGGTGGGTGGGTGGATGGGTGGATGGATGGATGGGGGGTGGGTGGATGGGGGTGGGTGGGTGGATGGATGGGTGGATGGATGGGTGGGTGGATGGATGGATGGTGGGTGGATGGATGGGTGGGTGGGTGGGTGGATGGATGGATGGGTGGATGGATGGGTGGGTGGGTGGATGGATGGGTGGGTGGTGGATGGGTGGGTGGGTGGATGGATGGGTGGGTGGGTGGATGGATGGATGGGGTGGTGGGTGGATGGATGGGTGGGTGGATGGGGTGGGTGGGTGGGTGGGTGGATGGGTGGGTGGATGGATGGGTGGATGGATGGATGGGTGGGTGGATGGATGGATGGATGAGTGGGTGGGTGGATGGATGGGTGGGTGGATGGGGGGTGGATGGATGGTGGGGGTGGGGGGATGGTTGGGGGGATGGATGGATGGGTGGGTGGATGGATGGGTGGATGGGTGGGTGGATGGATGGTGGGTGGATGGATGGGTGGATGGATGGGTGGGTGGATGGTGGGTGGATGGATGGGTGGGTGGGGAATGGTTGGGGGATGGTGGATGGGTGGATGGATGGGTGGATGGGTGGATGGATGGGTGGGTGGATGGATGGGGGTGGGGGGATGGATGGATGGGTGGGTGGGTGGATGGGTGGGTGGGATGGATGGTGGATGGATGGATGGATGGGTGGGTGGATGGGTGGATGATGGGTGGTGGGTGGATGGATGGGTGGGTGGATGGATGGGTGGGTGGGTGGATGGATGGGGGGTGGGTGGGTGGATGGGTGGGTGGATGGGTGGTGGTGGGTGGGGATGGGTGGGTGGGTGGGTGGGTGGGTGGATGGATGGGTGGGTGGGTGGATGGATGGGTGGGTGGATGGATGGATGGATGGATGGGTGGTGGGTGATGGATGGGTGGGTGGATGGGTGGGTGGATGGATGGGTGGGGGGTGGGGGAATGGTTGGGGGGATGGATGATGGTGGGTGGATGGATGGGTGGATGGGTGGGTGGATGGATGGGGTGGGGGATGGATGGGTGGATGGATGGGTGGGTGGATGGGTGGGGGATGGATGGGTGGGGGGGTGGGGGAATGGTTGGGGGATGGATGGATGGGAGGGATGGGTGGATGGGTGGATGGATGGGTGGGTGGGTGGATGGGTGGATGGATGGGTGGTGGATGGATGGATGGGTGGGTGGATGGATGGGTGATGGATGGATGGATGGGTGGGTGGATGGGTGGATGGATGGATGGGTGGGTGGATGGATGGGTGGATGGATGGATGGATGGGTGGTGGGTGGATGTATGGGTGGGTGGGTGGGTGATGTATGGGTGGATGGGTGGGTGGATGTATGGGTGCGTGGATGGGTGGGTGGATGGATGGATGGGTGAGTTGGTGGATGGGTGAGTGGATGGATGGGTGGATGAGTGGATGGGTGGGTGGGTGGATGGATGGGTGGGTGGATGGATGGTGGATGGGGATGGGTAGATGGGTGTGGGTGGAGGGATGGGGATGGTTGGGGGATGGATGGATGGGTGGGTGGATGGATGGGGGATGTACAGATGGTGGTGGATGGGGTGGATGGATGAGTGGTGGGTGGATGGGTGTGATGGATGGGTGGGTGGGTGGATGGTGGGTGGATGGGGATATATGGATGGATGGATGGGTGGGTGGATGGATGGGTGGGTGGATGGATGGATGGTGGGTGGATGGATGGGTGGATGGATGGTGGGTGGATGGGTGGGTGGATGGATGGGTGGGTGGATGGATGGGTGGGGGGGGGGATGGTTGGGGATGGATGGATGGGTGGGTGGATGGATGGGTGGATGGGTGGATGATGGGTGGTGGATGGATGGGTGGGGGTTTGGGGGATGGTTGGGGGGATGGATGGATGGGTGGGTGGATGGATGGGTGGATGGGTGGATCGATGGGTGGATGGGTGGATGGGTGGGTGGATGGATGGATGGGTGGGTGGATGGATGGTGGATGGGTGGATGGATGGGTGGGTGGATGGGTGGGTGGATGGGTGAGTGGGTGGATGGGTGAGTGGATGGATGGGTGGATGAGTGGATGGATGGGTGGGTAGGTGGATGGATGGGTGGGTGGGATGGGTAGATGGGTGGGTGGGTGGAGGGATGGGGATGGTTGGGGATGGATGGATGGGTGGGTGGATGGATGGGGGATGTACAGATGAGTGGGTGGATGGGTGGATGGATGGATGGTTGGGTGAATGGGTGTGATGGATGGATGGGTGGGTGGGTGGATGGATGGATGGGTGGATGGATGGGTGGGTGGATGGGTGGGTGGATGGATGGGGGATGTATGGATGGGTGGGTGGATGGGTAGATGGGTGGGTAGGGGGATGGATGGGTGGGTGGATGGGGGATGGTTGGGGGGATGGATGGATGGGTGGGTGGGTGGGTGGGTGGATGGATGACTGGATGGATGGATGGGTGGGTGAATGGATGGATGGGTGGGTGGATGGATGAGTGGGTGGATGGGAAATTGATGCATGGGTGGGTGGGTAGATGGATGTGTGGATGGGTGGCTGGATGGATGAATAATGAAACCTCTCACAGAACAGTCAACTCCTCCTGCCCTGACCATCCCCAGACCTCTCCAGGGAGGTCCAGGTTCATGGGAGTGAGTGGGACCAGGCAGAACAGAGCCCTGTGCTCTTCATCAGCAAAGCTCACTACCACCTTCTTCCCCCTGCTACTCCTTCTCCCAAGCCACACCTGTGGACACACAAGGTACATACACATTGTTCAGACACAGGCTGAGAAAGGGTCCTGCTCAGATGATAGGGCTCAGATCTTCTAGCTGTTCGTTCTGTCTCCTCTCCTGAGCCTCAGTTTTCCTGTCTTTAAAAAGGGGAGCTTCAACCAACTAGTGCACGGCTTGAGATAGGAAGTACTGAATATTCTGAGGAGAGGAATTTGTCTCACCTTTTGGAATCTTTTCAGCATACCAGATCCTCATCTTACATATGTGGAAACTGAGGCCCAAGTTTGGCAGAGCTGGGGATACTAGTGATGGGGACAGTTGCTCCGCAGCCAGGGAGGAGAGCTGGGGTGGAAGAAAAGGAGGGAAAGAGGTTTACTAGGCTCCACAGAAGCTGTACTGCTGGTCCAGGTCGCCAGAGCTCTGACAATTAGGTGCACACTGTGTGCCAAGCCCTGTGCAAGGTGCCAGGGACACAACCTTGATCCTGACAAAGGTCCAAGTCTGGAGGAGGAAATGGATGTGTGACCAAGGTGATACAGAATCAAGATGGAGGACACACAGGCACCTGTGGGAACCCCAAGGAGACCTAGGGAGAAGAAATCAAGGGAGGCTTCCAGGAGGGAGTGATGCTAAAATTGAGTTTGAAAGGTGAGCCAATGAGGGACCACTCTGGTGAGGATAAGAAAGACAACAGTTTGAAAGGTGAGCCAATGAGGGACCACTCTGGTGAGGATAAGAAAGACAACTGCTAGGTCCCCAGAGGGGAGGGAACAAGAAATAGTTTGGCTCAGTGGAAGCAAGAGAGTGGGACACCATGCAGGGCAGAAGAGGAGCAGGGCCAACTCCCAGAGGCCCAGAGACAGACCGGATAGGAATCAGGAAAATGCTAAGCCTGCCCCTATCATGCTGTACTCTCCCGAGTACTTGAAATGTGGCCTGTGGGACAGGACGGTATGGGTTAAATCATGTTCCCTCCAAAATTCCTATGTTTGAGTAGCGACCCCCATTCTGAGTCCCTCAAAATGGGACGTTATTTGGAAGATAGGGTCACTGCAGATGGAAGTAGTTAGGATGAAGTTGTAGTGGAGCAGGGTGAACCCTAGCCCTATGGCAGGGGTTTTTACACAATAGGAGATTTGGGGCCAGGCACGGTGGCTCACACCTGTAATTCCAGCTACTCAGGATGCAGAGATGGGAAGGAACATGGCTTCAGACCATCCTGGGCAAACAGTTAGTGAGACCCCTATCTCAACCAATAAGCTGGGCATGGTGACCGATGCCTGTGATCCCAGCTATGCAGGAGGCAGAGATAGAGGATCACAGCCCAGGACCAGTCCTGGGCAAAGCCTTGTGACTCTACCTGAAAAATAACTAAAGCAAAAAGAGCTGAGGGAGAGGTTCAAGCCATAGAGTGCCTGCCTGGCAAGGGTAGGCCCAGTACCATGAAAAGGAGTAGCATGAAATGGGTGTGGGGGGATTTGAACACAGGTGCAGAAGAGATCGCGGTGTGATGATGCCGGCGATGCTCCTACGTGCTGCAGACGGGCCAGGATGGATTGTCCCTTCCAGCCTCAGAGGAAGCAGCTCTGCCCAGCTGGACCAAGGACTTCCGCCTCCACAGCTGAGCTAGAGGCAGGGTCCCGTGTACGACCACCTGCTCCTGCCCGGTCTATGGGACTCTGTAAACAGTGTCAAGCAATACAATAAGAAAATGAATTTTTAGTTGTCATTGACTTTAATAAAATTTATGAAGCCACAAGTGGTTAGTGGCTACAAAATTGGGCAGTGGGGTAGACCATCCCCTGTCACCACAACAATGTCTGAACCCCAACCCTTCCGCCCTAGGCCCTGACCTGCCGGGACTCGAGGGCCCTGGGAGCTGGCAGGATGGAAAAGAGCATCCTTCTGCCAGCGACAGAGGGAATGTCCTTCTGTAGTCATCAGCCCGTGGTGCCATTTAATGTAAACTAATTCAAGTTAAATGCCATTTACAAGGAAACATTGAGTTCATCATTCGCGCAGTGACCCGCGGAGCCGGCTGAGTACCCACAGCCCAGTGCCACCCTGGGTTGGCAATGAGCCCATTGTATGGATGAGAAAGGGCGAGGCAGCGCGTGCCCGGGGCCAGGGGCGTCAGGTCTCTTCCTCCCTGCTGGCCCCCAGATGGGAGCCTCAAAAGACGCAAGAAGGCCCAAAGGGAAGTGAGCGAGAAGAGGCAGGTGGCAAGTGTCACCGGGTCCCCTGCCTGGCATGGTTGCAACATGCAGACGCAATCTCACCGCACACAAGCGCCTGCAGCTGGCCTGGCGGGGGAGGGGCTGCAGGAGGGGGCGGGGTCTAACTGCGCACACGCCCCCTCGCAAGCCACGCCCCCAGGGCGCACGCGCACCGCGGGGTCTAGCCTGAGCGCGCCACCTGCGCACCGCTCTCGCAGCTCCCGGGCCCCGACATTGAACTTCCACGTCAAGTTGCCAGGTCCCCAACGGGACCTCCCGTTGGGGTGAGCCCGCCCCACGCAGGCCCAGAGAGGGGCCGGGACCTTCCCAGGATCACTGCCCCGATAGGCAGCCGCCCCTATCCCAGGTGCCCATGGAAGCGTCCGCAGGCCCGGGAGGTGACGCGGAGGCCTTGAGAGCGCGCCCCGTTCTCTGCTCGCTGTGCGCGCACCCCTCCCCGCGTCCCCCCCCCCCAGGGCCCGCTTGGGTGTGCGCGCCCCCGGCTGTCCCCGCTGCGGGCTCAGATGCTCCGCACGCTGGAGACGCTGGACAGGGGCTCCCGCATCCTGAAGCTGAGTGATCGGGAGCCCCGAAAGCTGTCCCTGGGGCGCAGCGAGCTGTCGGTGGTAGACGCTCCGGAGTGAGCCTCGGCGGCGCGGACCAGGCAGTCCCCGGGGCCTCGCACGCCCAGCCTGAGACACCCGCAGCAGAGGAAGGCCAGCACCGCGCGACACACCTCCCGGCTGCGGAAGGAGTAGATGAGGGGGTTGATGGCCGAGTTGAGCACGGCCAGCGCCAGGATCCAGTCCATGCCTCGCAGGTACTCCTGGGCCCAGATATTGGAACCAAAGATGTCGGCCAGCAGCAGGCCAAAGAGCGGTCCCCAGCACACGACGAAGGCCACCAGGATCATGAGTACGGTCTTCAGGAGCCTCCGGGCTTTGCGGCGGGCCGGGGGGCGCGGGGCCTTCTGTCCATTGGCGCGAACCACCCTGAAGATGGCCCCGTAGAGGCCCAGGATGGAGGCCAGGATGAGCGCGAAGAGGACCACGCAGAACAGGATGTAGTCCTTGGAGTAGAGGGGCAGCAGGCTGGAGCAGCGGTCAAAGTCACACGTGCAGTTCCAGCCGAGCAGGGGCAGCAGCCCCAGCAGTCCGGCCAGCAGCCAGCACAGGCCGATGAAGCCATAGACGCGGCTGGTCTTGGTGTTCCCGCTCTCGGCCACACGCACCATGGTGGCGAAGCGCTCGCCCGCCGTGAAGAGCTGGCTGAAGGTGGACGCGGCCAAGGCCATGAACAGGAGGCCCTCGCGCAGGAACCACTGCGCAGGCGCCAGGTGGAAGGTGCAGCCCCCCGACAGCAGAACGTTGACCAGGTAGGCCAGGCCGGTGAGCAGGTCACTCAGCGTGATGTTGACCAGGCAGTAGTACACCCAGCGTCGCGATCGCATGTGGGTGCTGATGGCCGCCAGCACCACCACGTTCTCCAGCACCACCAGACAGCTGGCGGCCACCGACAGGCCGCGCTGGGCCCCCAGGCTGCCGTCCTCCGGCCCCCCTCGCCCTGCCAGCCGGCCCGAGTGGTTGTAGTGCAGCACGATGAGCCGGCTGTGCCCGCTGGCCGCCAGCTGGTAGCAGGACTCTGGGGCCACAGATGGGGACCCCGTGGCGTTCATGGCCTCCCCTGGGGGCAGACTGAGGCCCCGGGCAGGGTGGAGTCGGGGCTTGGCTTCCTGTTGAAATTTCCTGTTATGTTCAAGGTGCCCCCGGGGTGGGGGTGAGACCAGGACAGGGAGGGGCATCTCCACCAACAGCTGGGGGGCTCCCAGAGGACTCTGGGGATATGCCCTGCTGACACCCCCACCCCTTCCTTGATGGCCCCATCTGTCCTTGAAAGCAAAGGGGGAGCAGAACTGCCAGTACCTGATGTCATCCTCCCTTTCTCTCCAGTGCTCCAAGCACACCTGTACACAGCAGGTGCTTAATAAATGCTTGTCAATGCACAAACATACACACCTTGAAAGCTCTGACTCACCCTGTTTCAAACCCCCATCCCTGCTTCTGCCAGACCTGACTTGCACTGTGCTCAACTACAGAAGGGAAACAGGCCCTGACCCCACCAAGGGCGCCTGGATGGGACGTTTGTGGGTTCCGGGTCACGACTCCCTCCCAGTATGGCCAATGGCTCTCGGGCCCCTGAGCTCACCCTACAGGGAACAGAGGTGGCCCAGCAGCAGCCCTTGCTCAAGAAGTTTGGGGGTACAGGAACAGTGGGGTACACACCACCCCACAAACAGACTCAGGATGACTTAATCTGAGATAGCTGTGTGAGGGGACACAGATGTGTCACCTGTAGGACCAGTTGTCCCCCGAGAAGATGGAGTATCTCCTAGGAAGGTCAGGCCTGGGGAGAGATGGGGAAGTCTGGGGGGACAGAGAACAGCTCGGGTTCCCAGCACCCATCCTCCTCTGTTTACTGTGCAGCTGTGGGTAGGAAGGGGCAGGGAGGCTGAGCAAGTCCTGCCTGGGGAGGAGCCAACTATATGACCAGAGGTGACCAAGCAGAAGGGCCTGGGGAGGGCTGGGGTGTGAGCCCAGGCAGGAGGTGTGAGGCTTAGCCTGGCTCAGATGCCACAGAGCTTCAACCTCGCCGCCCTCCTCCCCCAGAGCCATCAGATTCAGAAACCAGCATAAGGAGGCATGCTGAGTGATCTGAGGCTCAGCCAACCATTAGAGCCCCACTGTGGACTGAGCCACAATCCCAGGCTCTGCCCCACCCTACTCTGAGCCCTGATCCCAGCCTCAGCCCCCCACCTTGATTGAGCCCCAATCTCAGGCTCAGCCCTAACCCTAAGTTGAGCCCTGACCTCGCTTTTACCCAGTCTTATACTGATCCCTGATCCCAGGCTGAGGTCCAAACCTAGCAAAGTGCAGACTTTGTACTGATTTCCAGTTCAGGATTAAGCCCTTACCTTGGACTGAGCTCAAACCTTGCACTGAGCCCTGAACCCTGGGCTGACCCCCCATCCTAGCTGAATGCCGACTCTGTACTGATTCCTGATCTTATACTGAGCCTTGATCCTGTACTGAGCCCTGATCCCAGACTGAACCCTGATGCTGGCTAAGCCTGTGACCTGAGAATATCCCAGTGCTGACCCCTGACCTTGGGCTGATTGCAGATCCCAAGCTGAACCGCAACTCTGGTGGAATCCAACCTTGACTGACCTTTGCCCCAGCTGAGCCCCTGACCCCAGACCACAAATTCGGGGCAACAGTGAAGTGCCTCTGTATGGGAGTGACACCAACAGTGACCTTCTACCATGAATTCTCCTGGGGAAGGCTTTCTGTGCCCTGTGCCTGATTTCAAAAGAGCAAGTCCCCCTAGACCCTCTGGAAATCACTGAACACACAGTAATAACTGCATAATTTAAGGTCATGGGCAAAAGGTCATTTCTAAGTTGCTATTTGTAAATCCAAAATACAGACTGAGATGTGACTCAAGTGTGGAGCTTGTGCCTAGCATGCACAAGACCCTGGGTTCCATCCCCAGCACCTAATAAATAAGTAGCTGCAAACTATTAAAAGCAAATGTTTGCACACGGGAGAGAGGCTGAGAAGCTATGCTGTGGTCCTGGATGGAGTTCTACACAGCTGGGCAAAGGGACTATCTCCCAGAGTGGAGTACTGTGCAGCTGGGTAGAAGCAATAGTGATCTTCACAAGTGGAATAGAGTTATTGAGTCACTTTCAGGACATAGTGCTAAGAGGAAGAACAATAAAGTACAAAAAAGTCTATGTAGTACATTACTTTGTGGGCTGCAGAGTGGCTCAAGTGGTAGAGGCCCTGAGTTCAAATCCCAGTACCACCACCAAAATGAAAGGGCATTACTTTTGTGCCACAAATAAAGAGGTATATATGTGCTTATTTTTGCAAAAGAAACACAAGAAAGATAAACCAGGAACATACAGAACTGAGTGAGATTGAAATGAAAAAAGAAGGGAAGACACTATCTGAATATTTCTCTTAGTGTAGTTTTGAAGCCCTGTTAACACTGTAAAAATTCAAAAATAAAATTAAACCAACAAATGCTACAGTTTGGCGCTAGAATGTCCCTCAAAAGCCATGTATCGAAAACTGTGTTCTCAGAGTGGTGCTACTGGGCTGGAGTGGAACCTTTAAGAGGCAGGGCCTGCTCGGAGGTTGTAGGTCACTGGGGTGTGTCCTCCGAGGGAACTGTGGGACACTGCCATCCTTTTTGTTTTGCAACCAGCCATGGTTGCTCACTCCCCACAGCCCTGCAGAAAGGAGACCAACCCGTCCTGGACTGGAACTTCCAAAATAAACCTTTCTGTTTTGTAAGTTGATTGACTCAGGTATTTTCTTACAGTAACAGAAAGCTGACTACTGCAATGAGGATGGAGAGGGAAAAAAGCATTAAGATGGATTATACACAGAAAACAAATGAATTTAGCTGTGTTTCAAATGAAGGCACAAAGCTAGGCTTTCTGTAGCAGGTTTGTCCTTGAGAGGAGTGTGGGCGTAACAGTTTTGAAATGATTGTGTGTGATGTGGACTGAGCAAATGGCAAATATATTCATACTGTCGGGATCTAGGGTGTTCCAAGGGAGAGAAGGAAGATGCACATATGAAACAGGAAATGGAGGAAAGGACCCCGAGGGGTGTGGTAGAATTGTAACAGTGTGGACTCCGCCCTGGAGCAACAGGCACCTTGCATCCACACCTGGGCCTCTCAGAAGCACCCCCTCACCCCCTGAAAAAGCAATGAGGACTCCTGGGGGCAGGGGCCGATTCCAGAACGGGGAGCAGGGAGAAAGCAAGGGGACCCTGGACCGCCCCTGAATACAAGAAAGTCAGGTGACTTGTCCAAGGACACAGGAGCCAGCAGTAGGGGCTGTGGCTGGCCAGCCTGGAATAACCTGAACTCCGAAAATGAATGATTTTACAGGCTGGGGGCATGGCTCAAGCAATAGAGCATCTGCCTAGCGAGCGTAAGACCCTGAGTTCAAATTCCAGTACTTCCAAAAAAGAAAAAAGGTAGAAGCCATAAATAAATGACTCTGTCATCCACCCCAGCAACTCTACTCCTAGGTGTCTCCCAAGTGAAATGAAAACTTGCCCAAGGCGTCCATGGCAACTTGTTTCATTGTAGCCCCAATGTCGACTCGACCCAAATGCCCTGCCACTGGTTAATGGATGAATAGGTATGGTCCATCCACACAATGGAATATTATGCAGCCATGAAAGGGAAGGGCATTATGATATATGATCCAACATGGCTGGACCCTGAACACCTGATGCTCGGTGAAATAAGCCAGATGTAACAGGACACATACTAAACAGATGGTAAGTGTTTGGCCGGTGGGCAGCCACCCCATGGCGATCAGGGACTCTCTGCTCACTTTCCACTCCATCCCCTCCTTCCCTTCATGATTACCATGGCAACTCCTGCTGGTAGGCAATGGGTCCTGACCTATCCTACAGATCCATATTACCCCGAGCTCCTCCCCACCAAACCATTATCGGGATGCCCCATAATGCCTTAAGCTCTTAACTTCACCCAGGATATAAAAACTGGGCTGCCATTTCTCCGGCCCTGCTCTTTGGGGATGGTGAACCTTGCCCAAGAGCGCGCTCTCAATAAAGCCTGCTTAAAGCCTGCTTGCTTTGTCATTTGGCTCCAATTTGGCCTTCCCATCAGCGTCGACCTAACAGTAAGGACCCACCTTTCCCTGGGGTACTGGGCAGGACTCAAGCATTGTCAGAGCACTGTTCAATACTGTTAATATTAATGATAGGCCTTTATTGTAAATACCACTTATTTTTCTACATTTTTGTTTGTTTATTTGTTTGCAATGAGGCCTCACTCTGTAGCCCAGGCTGGCCTCCAATTCTCCATCCTCGTGCCTCAGCCTCCTGAGTGCTAGGATTACAGGCAGGCCCATGACGCCCAGCTATTTTTTTTTCCATTAAATATGCTGCGATGTTGATAGGTGGGAAGACTTAGCTCCCTATCTGTCAGCTGTTAGCCTCTTCCCTGTGGCTCTGCTTCCTTGAGCAAAGTTCTGCCACACTGGCCACTTGGAACCCGGAGTAGGACTTTGGCTTGCGAAGGCTCTGCCACAGCAAGCAGCTCGCCTTTGACCTTCTGTCATCAGGCGCCTAGGTGAACTCCAGATGCTACCTCCACCCCGGCCAGAGGGGGAGCGCTCCCTTCCCCTGAGATTCCAGCCGAAGCCCTGTGATTGGTGCAAACACAGTCCCTCATTTGCATAAGGGGCTGTGCCTTGATTGACAGAAATCCAGCCTTCGTTTGCATGAAGGGCCGTTGTGATTGGTGCAGGCACTCTTGCCACAATAAGCAGGCTGCTGGGCTTCCTTAGCCAGTCAGCCAGGAGTTTGTTTCCAGTGCAGGCACCTGGTCCTACGACATTAGGTCCAATAACGGCTCCTCGAAAGTGGCCTTTCTTGCCTACTTTGCCTACTTTGTACTTTTCATCATTAGTAGAGTGACATTAGTAAGCTGGTGACTCGGAGGAGAGAAGCAGCAGCAGCAGCAGAGACAAGAACAGTGGTGAGGGCAGCAGGACTGGAGTTGGCCGTGGTCAGGTTGTCAGTGACAGCAATCAGAAAGCTGTTAGCATTTGTCATCGCCCATGCTGACAAGCGTGCCCCGCACCCCGGGCCCCGGCACCCTAGAGGGCGCCCCTGCTGCTGGCTGTCATCTGGCAAAAACCCTTGCCAAGGGCGGGAACCGAGGGAGCATCTCACCCACCCGATTCCTGTCCCCATGGAGAAGGACCCCACTCACAAGGGGTCCCTAAAGTCACAGACACACAGAGACAGGAGGCAGGATGGTGGGGGCAGGGGAGGGGTTAGTGTCAACTGGGGACACAGCTTCAGTTTGGGCGATGAGGAAGTTCTGGAGATGGATGGCAGGGACCGCTGCACAGCCATGTGTGTGCTCAGTGCCGATGACCTGCACGCTGAAAAATGATGAAAATCACAAAATTTACGAAAATGACCACAATAAAAAAAAGTTTAAAATTTTTAAATAAAGGGCAAAATTGGCTGGGCATAGAGGCTCATGCCTGTAATCCCTGCTACTTGGAAGGCAGAGGTCAGGAGGATCATGGTTCAAGGCCACCCTGGACAAAAACAGCGAGATTCCTATCTCAACAAACAAGCCAGTTGTGATGGTGCACATCTATAATTCCAGCTATGCAGGAGGATTGCAGTCTGAGGCCAGTCCCAGGCAAAAACTTGAGACCCTGAGAAGTAACAAAAGCAAAAAAGATCTCAAGTGGCATGATGCAAGTGATAGAAAAATAAAAAAGGTTACATGTGGCTGCATCCTGCTTCAGGGTAGCAAACTTCTTCTGCAGAAAGCCAAATAGGAAACATCTTCAGCTCTGCGGGCTAGATGGTCTTTGTGCCAGCTACTTCACTATGTAGCCAGAGTCACCACAGGTGAGACACAGCCATGCCTTGGTACCTCGGTGGGTACCAAAACCCCAGGATGCTCAAGTTCCTCGTATAAAATGTGCCGTATTTGCGTAGAACTGGTCCTGTAGACTTAAAAAATGTCAGGGCCATGGAAAAAGTTGTTTCACTGTATGGTTTGGGGGATAATGACAGGAAAAAGGTCTGCGTGTGTTCAGGACAGGCGACCATCATAGGCCTCACCTCATAGTACAAAAGGGGAGGCCCGAGGGCTGTGAAATGGTGGGAGGGAGCCCTTTGGTGGCATTGCTCAAAGTGTAGCGAATTCAAGTTTTACATTTTAGAATGTTCTGTAATTTTTTTGGTCACAAGTATTTCCTTTTTTAAAAATTATGGTGCTAGGGTTGAATCCGGGGCTCTGCCCAGAGCTGCAACAAACCCAGCCTTTCAAATACCACCCGGGTAAGGTGAGTCTCAGTCCAAGGCTGTGGAACCTTGGGCTACCGAAGGTAGCATAACTGTGTGTCAATAAAACTTTATTGAGAAAAGCTGGTCTAGGAGTAGATTTGGCCCAATGGTGGCAATTTGCCACCCCTCTGGCTTAGATGAATGACATATGGACTTTGCCATCATTTTGCAACTGTGTAGGTTCGAATTTTTTTTTTTTGAAAGTATGGGACTTGAACTCAGGACCTGGAGCTTGCTAGGCAGGCAAGCCTCTGCCAGCCCTAGAATTTTTATAATAGGAAAAGGGCTGGGGTGGCTCAGTGGCAGGGGTAGACATGGGTGAGGTCCTGGACTCCATCTCCAGCACAACCCCCCCACCAGAAAAAAAAAAAAGGAAAATGTGTATGCAGACATCCATAGGGAGTAGGGCTCTGTAAAAACAGAGGTAATGACAGGAGTGGTTGTGGCCACAAGCCAAGGATGACTTGTGCCACCTGGAGTTGAAAGAGGACCCTCCCTCCAGTCTTGAAGGGAGCCAAAGGTGACCCTGTCCTCGCACTGGTTTGAGATTTTTTGGCCTCTAGAACCGAGAGAATCATTTGCTGATCCTTAAAATCTCCTAACCCCCGCACACACACCTGTTGTTAATGTCCCCAGAGAAGCAATTCAAACTGACCAGCACTCCTCAAAACTGTCAAGGTCATCAAAAACAAGGAAGGGGACTGGAAGCATGGCTCAAGCGGTAAAGCACCTGCCTAGTAAGCGCAGAGCTCTGAGTTCAAACCCCAGTATCACAAAATAAATAAATAAGTAAACAAAACAAGGAAGGGAGCAGGCATGATAGCAGATGACTGTAATCCCAGCACTTGGGAGTGACACCAGGAAGAGTTCCAGGCTACCATGCAGACTGTCTCAAAATGACAAAAACACCAAGACATGAATGAGAAACTATCCCAGCCCAGAGGAGCTGGAGGAAACAGGAAGGCTGAAGGTCCCCTGGGATCCTAAAGGTGGTCATGGGGCAGAACACCAACCAGAGGACAAGCAGAAGGCCTGATAACAGAGGCTTCCTTCAAGAGGATCTCTTGATGGAAGAGAGGGCAGGGAGGGGGAAGGGAGGTGGAAGGGGGAGAGGAGAAGCTGGAGGTACCAACTGCTCAAATTTGGGGATTGGGCAGAGAGAGGTCAGACCCCCCCGCCCCAGCAACAGCTAGGGAAAGAGGTCAGACTCCACCTTCCGGCTCAAAATGAACACAGTCCCACAAGTGGGCAGACAACAAGAACTTTTTTTTTTTACCCTCTCACGTTGTCCCCCGTGTCCCCACCCCTCCCTCTGGCATTGGGCCGGAAACCTGAGGAGAGAATGGGGTGGGGATGCGGAGGAAGGGGGAGGCTGCAGGCGAGACCCCGAGAAATCACACATCTCTAGAGGGTCGCCTTTAATGTCCTCTAAGGAAGGTCCCGCAGAAGGGGAGGGAATAAATCCAGACGGTGGATGGTCTGCAGCGAGCCCTGCCCCAGCCTGGGAAGGACGACGATGCCTGTGGGCCTCGGTTTCCCTCTGCAAGCCGGGGCGGGACTCTGTGAGCCTCGAGGCTTGGGAAGGGACACCATTTGCCAGCGGTCTGTGCCCTAGCCAGGGAAGTGCCCGCGCCACCGGCCAGGATCTGGGGCCGGGGGTTCCTCCCGCCGTCCACCATGCGGCGCCAGAGTCCGCGCCTGCAGGCCCCGCGCCCCGGGCCAGCGTGGGCGTCACCCCGCAGGCGACGCAACCGGGACGCCGCCACGCCGGTCTCCGATTCCCCCATTTCTTCACCGTGGCCTCCACCCTGGCGCCCGGAATGGCCATTTTGCTCCCTTCCTTTCAAGGCAGGGAAACTGAGTCAAGGGACGCAAAGCCCAGGGGGAGGCCTGTCCTGGTGAAAGGCGGGGAAGAACGGGGACCCGTCTGTGCCCGGCTCTGTCCGGGGTGACGGGGGTCTTTGGGGTCCGCTCTGGCCTCTTCCGCTGGGTCACAGCAGGTTGATCTCGTCCAGGTAGCGGGCCAGCACCGAGTCCCGCACGTCCTTGAAGACCTTGCGGATGTTCTGCGTGTCGGTGGCGCACGTGTAGTGGCTGAAGAGGCGGCGGGAGCGGGGACCCTTCTTGCTGCCCTCGGGGCCGTCCATGCAGCCGGCGTACATGCGGGTGTACATGTCCAGGATGAACCTCTTGGCCGCCTCCGCGTCTTGCTTGGGGCCTGGGGGAAAGAGGGGAGAGGGGGAGGTCAGGACGTCCTTGAGACTAAGGGGCTCTGGGGATCCTGTCCCCATAAGCAGAGTGGGAAGGACGCCAGACCACTTCCGTCATCTTTAGTGTGGGCCCACGCCATCTTTGGAGTCAGAGCTGGTCACGTGACTCAGGGCTAGTCAGTGGAACATCGAGGATTGGCTCGCGAAAGTCATGTGACCTGAAACGGCCCAATGAGAGTCAGCCCTGGGAATTTAAGCAAAACTTCCTTAAAGAGAAACCCTCACTGTTGGCTGGGCTCGGAGCTGCCGAAATAGACGTCCAAAGACTGAAGATGGGGAAACTGAGGCCAAAGCAGGGGCAGGGAGTCCCCACTCTGGTATGCCTTGATGGCCGACCTGGCGAGGTATGATCAGGGAGGTGGGTACATATGCAAGGAAAACCCAATGTGAATTAAGGGCTTCTGGAGACCTGCACCAGCTCTGTTCTCACTAATTAGGTTATGTGATATACTAATCCCTGAGTCGCTGTGAGCCTCAATTTCCTCATTTGTAAATGGAGAATCCCAGCAGCCTAAGGCCTCCTAGCGTTGTTGCAAAGACACAACATTGTGGTGAGGACCTGATGCTTAATAAACTCCAGGCTTCCTGATTGTGAGCTATCAATGTTCTTTTGGAAAGGCAGGATAGCACCATGGTTATTGTTGGAGACTCCAGATCTGGGTCCAGAAGCTTGGGTTCAAGTCCTGCTTCTCCTACTGACTGGCTGTATGACTGCCGACAAGTGACCTTGCTGCTTTGGGCCTCAGTTTCCCCATCTCTGTAATGGTGGAAAGGGTAAGTTCTCCTGGGCAGGGTTTTTAAATGAGGAGGCCACAAGCCCTGGCCATCAGGGTGGCTGACGTGTTGGCTATTGTTTTGGGTTTGTGATCATTATTGTCGTGAATATGATTTTGTACAGAGGAGAAAACAGCTGAGAGCCAGCAGTTAGTGAAGGGTGCTCTGGCCACTTCTGCTGGGAAGTAAGGATGCATCATGGCGATTTCCTTCAACTTCAATGAGAAAAAAAACCCAAAACTTCAAAACTGTCTGTTTTATCCTTTTTCTCGAAACCATGGCCAGCTTCCTGGGACTGCTCAGCTAGGGCAAGGGTAAGGTGTCTCCCAGACCCTCAACCTTGTGGGCTCTGAGATGTGACAAAGCTCAAGTTCACTGACCTTTGACCTAGCACCAAGCATAATCTATACATGTCATCTACTATAGTCGATTGTGCTTTGGGGTAAAAATAGTGTCCCCCCTCCAAATCCATATCCACCAGAACCTCAGATTATGACCTCATTTGGAAGTAGGGAATTTACAGATGTAATAAGCTAAATTAAAATGAAGTTTGGGGCGGTGGAGTGGCTCAAGTGGCAGAGCACCTGCTTAGCAAGTACAAGGCCCTTAGTTCTAACCCCACAAAAAAATAAGGTCACACTGACTTAGGGTGGACATTAAGTCCAATGACTGGGGGCCCTATATGAGAAGAAGAAAAGAGGAGCTGGGCACCAGTGGCTCACGCCTATAATCCCAGCTACTCAGGAGACAGAGATCAGGAGGATCACAGTTCCAAGCCAGTCTTGGCAAATAGTTTGCAAGATATCTTGAAAAACCCTATCACAAAAAATTGGGCTGGTGGAGTGGCTCAAGGTGAAGGCCCTGAGTTCAAGCCCAGCACTACAAAAAAACAAAAAAGAAGAAAAAGAGAAAGAAAAAAGGGCTTGTGGAATGGCTCCGCTGGCAGAACACATACCTAGCAAGTGTAAAATCTGGAGTTTAAACCTCAGTGCTGCCAAAAAAGAAAAAAAGCACCAACTCCTCACTTGGGCCCACAAGGTAACTAAGACCAGGAGAAAAACCTAACATCTCAGCCTCCATTTCTCCTTCACTCTGAGTCTCTCTTCTTCAGTTACCTTGGATACGGAAATGAAAAGATCAATGATATCTTTATGACAAGGGACTGAAACTACCCCTAAGGAACAGCAGAGCCTTGCAAGACACCGCCCCCCCCACCTCCAATGAGCACAATTACCTATGCTGACGAGGCTGCACCCTGGAGCAGGCGCAAGCATCTCATGGGACCAGAGTGATGACAGCGATAACACCTTCTCCAGATACTGAGAGAGCCAGGACTGAGATCGTGATCGAGCAGGACACACTTGGCCTGGACTGTTAATTATACCTAGCTCTTGGCCCCTGCCCCACTTTCCCTGGTGTAAACCCCCCATGTTACACCACTGGGCCCCTTTTCAAAAGTGCCATGCCCATATCTGGATGTGTGCTGTCCTGTCCTGTTTGCTTTGCTTAATAAATTCCACTGATTTCTCCCTTGACGGACTGAGATTCTTCTCTGTGACAGTATCAGGAAGTCAGTCCCCAAGTTGAGGACCCCTCCCTCTGGGGACCTCCCTAGCCCCTCTTGGTTCCTGTGACATATTTTTAAGCCAAGGACTACCAAGGACTAGTGGCAACCACCAGCAGAAACTGGAAAGAGGCATGGAGTGGGTTCTCCCTCAGAGCCCCAAGGAGGATCTGATCCTGCTAACACCTTGATTTGGGACTTCTGCCCTCCAGAACTATGACAATCAATTTCTGTTTTCTTAGGTCCCCAACCCCCAGTCTGCTGTCTTTGGTTATAGCAGTCTTGAGAATAAAGATAGCTGGTCTCCAACATGGCTGCTATCCCTTCCTTCTCTCTGTATGCTCATCCTATCCCTCCATTAAGGTGGCCACTGTCACCAGACACCAGCGGCTCATGCCTGTAATCCTAGCTATTTGGGAGGCTGAGATTAGAAGGATCTTGGTTTGAGGCTAGACCAGGGCAAAAAGTTTGTGAGACCTCCATTTCTACTTTGTGTGTGTGTGTGTGTGTGTGTGTGTGTGTGTGTGTGGCACTGGGATTTGAACTCGGGGCCTTCACCTTGAGCTATTCTGCCATCCCTTTTGGTGATGGGTATTTTCAAGATATGGTCTCGCAAACTATTTGCCTGTGCTGGCTTTGAACCGAAGTCCTCCTGATCTCTGCCTCCTGAGTAGATAGGATTACAGGCATGAGCCCCCAACGCCCGGTGAGACCCCCATTTCTATAGAAAGAAGCTGGGCGTGGTGGCATGAGCCTGTCAACCCAGAGACAGCAGGAAGCTTAAACTAGAAGGATCACAGTCCAGACCACCCCGGGTAAAAAGGCAGATCCCATCTCCAAAATAACCAGAGCTAAAGTGCAAAGCCCTGAGTTCAAACCCAGTTCCACAAAAAAAAAAAAAAAAAAAAAAGATGGCCACGAGACCACCATCACTTCCTTCTTCCTGTGGATTCATTCTATCCCTCCATCATGAGACAGAGGTTGTCCCTCTTGCCCCCCACCCTGAATCCAGGCTGGGTTTGGTGACTTCTTTGGCCAATAGACTGTGATGGAGATAACACTGTGACATTTCTGAGGCTTGGCCTTGGAGGAAGCTTCTACCTGGACTGCAGCATGGCTACCCTGACTCAGCCATATTGTGAGGGAGCCCAAGGCACTTGGGGAATGATGTCACCAAATGCGGGGAGAAGGAGAACAAAAGGGGGAGGGAGGGAGGGAGGGAGAGAGAGAGAGAGATCAGGGCACCAGCCATCTTGGAAGAGAGTCTTCAGTCCCAGCCACCCCAGCTGATGTTGCTCAGGTCAGAGAACATAGCAGCTGAGCTCTTCCCAAATCACTAACCCACATGATAATCATGAGCCAAGTAACATGTGGCCAGTTGAAGCCACTAACTTTGGGGACAGTTTGTTCCCTAGCAATAGATAAGCAGAACATTCACACCACTTCATTTTATCCCCAGAGTGGAACTCTGGGAAAGTGCTGGAACTGTACACCTCCCCACCGAGTTTCCTAGAGCAACAGAAACTATCTCCCTTCTGCAAAATATCCTACCTGTGCCCACACTGACCTGTGTGCCTCCTTGGTTGGCCTTTGACACTCTGGTTGCAAGGAAGTGAGGCATGACAGAGCAGAGAAACTGAGGCACAGGAAACAGCAGCCAGGAATTTACAAAGAAGCAGTGTAATCATGAATAGCTTGATTGAAAACAGAGATCCTACTTTCTATGCTTTAATTAAGCCTTACGCCTTTCAACAAGCTGCAATTTTTAGTAAAAGGAAAAAAAAAAAACAGCAACTCTCTTCCTTTGACATTGCCCACTAGTGCAAAAGTAATAAGTGCACCATGAGAACTGAGCGAGGAGATCTTGGCTTTTTTATGGGGACACAAGGGTTTGAACTCAGGGCCTCACACATGGTGGGCAGCCACACTACCATTTGAGGCAGTCCACCAGCCCTTTTTTGTGAAGGCTTTTTGAGATAGGGTCTCGTGAACTATTTGCCTGAGGCTGGCTTTGAACCTCGATCCTCCTGATCTCTGCCTCCTGAGTAGCTGGGATTACAGGCGGAAGCCACCATGCCTGGTTCTATCTTTCTTTTACTTGGCTTTACTCATAAACTTTCTTACTCTTCACCGGTTCTGGTAACAGAAGACAAGTTCCCAAATGTTGTATGCCAGTTGTACATGTTTTGGTTTTCTTTGTGTGGGTTTTTTTTTTTTTTTTGGTGCTAGGGACTGAACCCAGGGCCTTGTACTTGCTCTAGCACTTGAGCCACACCTCCAGCTGTGTACTAGTTACTATGCAATTGAATGAGACGCTAAACAAATCTATATGCTACAAGTGCCTCAAGAAAGAAAGTTGTTGGCGCTGTGAAAACCACACCATAGGACTGGAGAGGGGGACACCTCTGCCCTTCTTAACTGTGACAATCAATTTCTGTTGTCCTATGTCCCCAACCCCTACTCTGCTGTCCAGAGTGGGCAGAGGAAGTAGCTGGGTGGACACATCAGGTCCCATCCTATTTAAAGCTTCTGGTGAGGCCTGGAGGCATGGCTCAAGTGGTAGAGTGCCTGCCCAACAAGTGTGAGGCCCTGAGTTCAAAACTCTACTACCCTCAAAATTTGCTACTGGGTGCCAGTGGCTCACCTGTAATCTTAGCTACTTGGGAGGCTGAGATTGGGAGGATCTTAGTTCAAGGCCAGCCCAGCAAATAATTCAGAAGACCCCATCTCTAAAATAACCAGAGCAAAATAGACTGGAGGAGTGACTCAAGTGGTAGAACACCTGCTTTGTAAGTGTGAAGCCCTGAGTTCAAACCCCAGCCCTACCACATAAAAAGGTGAGTCCAGGCCACATTAGGGCCTGGCTAAGTAACTCTCTTAGGGGCTGCTTTTGGGAGGCAAAGGGTATGTAATGTTCTAGAATCACTCACCCTGGAAGCTGGGGAAGTAGGTGGCCAGGTGGGAAGTGGGGATTTTCTCCTCCAAGATGTCTGTCTTGTTGAGGAAGAGGATAACAGAGGTGCTCTTGAACCAGGGAAGTTCTAGAATGGTGCCGAACAACGCGAGGCTCTCCTTCATGCGGTTCTGTGTTGGAGACAGAAGCAGGAGGTGGTTCCAGCTGGCCAGCTCGGCCCCAGCAGGACACCCTCACCCACGAGGACACAGATGCTGTGGGCCGCAGGCTAGGTGTGAGGGGCTAGGTCTCAGCTCTGGTGTGGCCTGTGTGTACCCAGCATGCTCTTTGCCTGTCCTGGGTTCATGAGTGTCCTTCCAAAATCCATGTCCACCTGAAGCCTCAGCGTGTGACCTGACTTGGAAATCGGGTCTTTGAAGATGTAATTAACATAAAGCCACTAGACTGGAGAGTTCTCTAATCCAGTGGCAGGTGTCCTTATGCGAAGAGAAAATTTGAACACAGACACACAGGTGCTACCTGTGTGTCTCAGAGACAGAGATTGGAGGGATGCAGTCACAAACCAAGGTACCCCAAGAATGGCCCCTGGACCCGAGATTGGACAATGGGGTGAAGACCCTCCCCCATGTTCTTCCATGGACGCTTAGCTCTGCACACACCTGAGCCTCACGCTCCTGGCTTTCAGGCTGTGATCAAGTAAGTTGTGTGGTATTAAGCGGTTCTTTTGTGGTCACTTGCTAGGGTGGTCCCACGGTGTCTGAGGGCCCGCCTCCCTGACACATGAGGTGGCTGCTGTAGGTTGTGCTGAGGACTGGGGGGACCTCTGGACATCTGCCCAAGAATGTCCCATCTGTGCATCTCGCTGTGTGTCCACTTGTGCCTTGCACACCCGTGTGCACCTTTTCCATGATGTGACCCGTGTGGTTCTATATCTGCTGATGCGTGCCTGAATGCGCCTGAGCAAGGTGTGAACACCTGAGCACAGGTGTGCAAGGAGTTTTCTGGTGGCTGAGGGTCCTGCCTCCCAGGGAGAAGGGCGGGGAGGTGGTCACTGAGTCCGTGACCCCTCACCTCCTGGTTGTTCTCCTCCAAACACTGGTCATACTCGCTGAGGGAGGCCAGGTAGATGAGCGCTATCACGTTCTCGAAGCAGTGAATCCACTTCTTACGTTCAGATTTCTGGCCCCCGACATCCACAATCCTACAGGGAAACAAGCACACTCCCTTTCAGAGGGCAGGTGTAACTGGAACCCCACTCAGGGCACCCCCGGCCCTAGGCATGTTTGAGATGTGCCAAGATTGGGAGAAGTTGTGCTGGGCAAAGGGCCGTGTCTCGCCAGTGAAGAAGGGACTAAAATCACATACGTTTCACAGAGGAGGAAACCAAAGCCTGGGGGCAGTGGGACTTCACCAAATGATGCCTTCTGCCCCATCCAGAGAGATCTGGGGTCCACCCCAGCTCTCACTGGGTGACGGGGAGATTGCCAAACAACCTCTGAACTTGGTTTCCCCATCGGTAAAATGACCACACAGGTGGGACGGAGGGCTGTTCCCAAAACAAACACAGTCCCCTCCCTCTGTGCCCCAGGAGATGGTGGCCTCCACCCAAGAACCACAACAAAAGCCTAAGCCCCCTTCCTGTTTAGCTTCTCAGAAAGTGGGTTATGATTACAATCTCCACGTCATTTCCCGGGGACGCAACTACTCTACTCAGGACATGCCCGGAGCACGGGCAGTGGATGAGCCTCGCCACAGCCTCAGAGAAGGGGCTTTCCCCAGTCAACTGCAGGGGAAACTGAGGCTGGGGATCGGCCAGCTCTTTTGTTTTCAGATCTCTGACACCAACTGTGACACATTTTGAAGCCACTAAAATCCACATTGCAGAGCTGGATGAGAGTGCAAAGACTGAGAGTCAGGCCTGAGACAGATAGACAGACCTGCCAGTGGAAGGACTCAGGGCCACCTCCCCCTCAGAGACTCTGATTCCTCTGAGCCTTCATGCACTGAATGCATTAGCTTCTCAGCCTGAGAACATTATTTCAACTTTCCAAGTAAAAGTTCCGCCTTCCATCTTCCACTCACCCATCCATCCACCTATCCATTCATCCACCCACCCATCCACCCACCCGTCCACCCACACACCCATCCATCCACCCACCCATCCATCCATCCATCCACCCATCCACCCACCCACCCACCCATCCATCCATCCACCCATCCATCCATCCATTTATCCATCCACTCATCCATCCACCCATCCATCCATCCATCCAACTACCCATCCATCTAGCTACCCATCCATCCATCCATCCATCCATCCATCCATCCATTCTCCCACCTTTCCAACTCTCTGATTATTTTTTTGTGTGTGTGTTTGAACTAGAGTTTGAACTCAGGGCCTACAACTTGAACTACTTCACCAGTCCTTTCTTGTGATTTTTTTTTTTTCGAGTTAAGGTTTCACGAACTATTTGCCCTGGCCAGCTTCAAACCACAGTCCCCCTGATCTCTATCTCCTGAGTATATGGGATTACAGCATGAGCTACTGGCACCTGGCACTATCTGACCTTAAATGATAGCAGAAGGACAAAGCTCCACCTTAGCCTTCAGAGGAGACTCATGTCCATACCAATTAGGGACTTCCTGGAAGGCCACTGCAGAGTCCAGAACAGCCTGGATCCAGGAGAAAGGACCCAATGGGGTTGAGTATAACCCGTTACTGGGCATCGCCCTGTGCCCCTCTCAGCTCCCTGGTGATCTTGCTCAAGTCGTCAGTGGCCATGTCCTGCCTCTTCGAGAATCCTCTCTCTGGGAGGTTCTTCTTTACCTCTCCTTGACCCCTGACGTTGGCCATCACTGCTGGATGACCCCTGGTTGCATCAGACTTCCGACTTCCAGCTCAGGACTGCACATCCATCCACCCCCACCCAGATGTCCCCAGCCCCTCAGACTCAGCCTGCCCCTAAGGCTTCGTGGTCTGACCTCACCTCCACCCCACAGGCTCTACTGTCTACCCCATGACCTGAACAAAAGACTTGGGTCACTTCCGACCTCCTGTACTAATTCCCGCATTTGCCTAGTGCTTCCCCTTGTGCGTGAGAAACAATTCTCATGCCACCTCCTCACTGCCACCGCATGGCCATTACCAACCCTTCCTGCCTCACCTGGAAGTTCAAGACCTCCAGCCTCACTCCCTCCAGTCTCCTCCTAACATTGACCACCATACGGCTCACTGTCTGAGCTCTCTTCTGCCAAAAGACATCCTTCAATACCCCGGTTACCAGGGTCCCTCCTCCAGGAATATCTCTCCTCCTGGGGCTCTATAAGCCTCACTCTGGGTTCCTCTGGATCCCTGTTCTGACTGCGCAGGGGACTGGAGGTGTCTTATATCCAGTTTTGCCTCCTCCAGTCTGGAAGCCCTTTGAAAGCTAGGACCAGGAAACTCTTACTTCTCTGTTATGGCCCCAGCGCCTTTGCCCCTGTGACACGAGCCTTCCCCAGGCCAGTCGAGCAGGGCACTCACCGCAGGTTGGTTTTCTGCACAGAGAAGCAGTACTCATTGATGCCCGTGGTGGGCATGCGGCTGCGTAGCACATCCTGCGCTGTGGGGATGTAGCTCTCCTCCGTGATGCGCTCCAGGTGAGACAGGTAACTGTGGAAGACAGAGCCCTGAGGCCCGACCTGGAAGCCAGCCTCCCTCTGCTGCTCGGGCCCCCACCTGGGGCCACTGAGGACCCTGCAGGGGGAGGAGAGCTCCTGGGAAGGGCCTGGGTCTCCGGGGTCCGCAAGTGGCCCTGGAGGCCCCCCTGAGGCAGTAAGAGCATCAGTGAGAAGCAGTGTGACCCCAAGGATGAGGTGACGTCAAGAATGGACTCACCCCAAGGTGGCACAGCCCTAAGAAAGGTGACAGCCTGAGGACAGTCCCCGCTGGCCATCAGGTCACAACGGCCGTCCAGGGTCACCTCAGAAAGGCTTTCTCCCTCTTCCTCCCCCCACCCCACAGGACGACTCCACGGCCTGTCTTGCCCTCTCTGCGGGGTAACGTCCCAAGGGGCTGGGTCCACACCCCACCCCTCCCTGCGCCCTGAGCCCGCCAGGCGCCCCGCCCCACCTCGCACGCCGGCCCCGCCCCAAGTCCTGACCCCGCCCCAGTCCCGCCCCGCCCCCACAACCCTCTGACCCCGCGGCCCCGCATCGGACCCCAGACTCACTACACGGCCGAGTCGAGCAGGTGGAACTCGCGCCGGCGCTCGTAGCAGGCCCGGATGCCCGCGTCCTGCCACAGGCACTGGATGGCCACTGCGTGAGGCTTCTCGAACTTCGTCACCTTGTAAGGGTCCTGGCTCATGACAAGGCTGGCGTGGTGCTGCGGAGGGATGGATGGGGAGCGCCAGGCAGCCTGTGTTAGCTGCTGGGTCCCCCAGTTATCTCCATAAGCCCCTCCATTCCCGTGCCCATCCCTAAGACACACACCCTCTGCCTTTGCCTTGTTTTCACTCTTGGGGGGTTCTGATCGCCCCCATATTCCCTAATTGACTCAGTGACCCACAAAGGAAACAGCAGCCCCTTGAAAGGTAGGACTGTTAAACTCCTATTCATCCCTCCACCAGGAAGATCTGCAGCTCTCCTGCCTCACTGTGGGTTCCTCCTGGTTCTAGTCCTGACTATACAGGCAGGAGGTGTCTGTAGCATCACGGCACCAGGAAAGCATCAGAGGGCACTGACCAGCCAGGGGTGAACACAATGGCTGTATAAGAACAACCCTAATAGGTATGGAGCATCTCCTTAGCACCCGGTGTCCGCTAACTCTTCAGGCAAGCCGGCTCTCCTCACTGGCTCCTCCAAGGTGGGTCACTACAGTTGTTCCCATTTTACAGATTAGGTGAGTGAGGCACAGAGCAACAGGGCAGTTTACCCCATGTGAGTCCCCAGCAGGTCAGAGATACACAGAGCCCAAGTGGCCCACCAGTCTCTGTGGCTCCCTAGCTCTCCCCATGTCAACCTCTGTCTGCTCCATCAGGCACTGGCCTTGCTCAGACCTCTGTGATGGACTCTGTGTGCATGCATGCACGTGGACACACACACGTGTGTGTGTGTGTGTGCAAACACACACAAGCCGTGCACATGCCTGGCTTTGTGTATCCGTGTGCTGTGTGTGCATCTGTGCGTGTGTGCGTGTGTTTGTGTTATAGGCCGGGCACGCGTGAATATGTTTGCATGCAACTGTGTGTGTCAGCTATGTGTGTCTGTATTTATACAAGTGCATGTGCCTCTGAACTGCTGGCCCCAAGCCCCATCCTATGGATGCTGGGACAGGGGACAAACCAGTGTGAGGTCCTGAGTAAGACTGGGGGGGCCGTGACCAAAGCCACACTATTGGAGCCAGACTGGCCATCTCCAGCATCAGGCCAGGCAGACACAAAGGGCCACCCCCCAGGGGTCAAGTGGCCAGTTTGAGCAGGGGAGGGGAGGCCCAGCAAAGTGGCCCCACAGTGCTCTCCCCAGCAGGGGGTGGCAGCTCAGGCCTTTTGCACCCAGCCTGGGTGGCTAGGCTCAGGCTGGCCCTGGTGAGGCCAGGGGGAAGGGACCTGAGGTCCGTCGTGTCCCCTCTGTGCCTTCTGGTGGGCTCTGAGTTCACCACAGAGGTGGGCGACCCATCACAAAACACATGTGAAAGACTTCTACTCTGAAAACTACGCAACACTGCTAGGAGGAAAACGTGGAAGACCCTAGCATGTGCAGGGATATACCATATTCATGTACTAGAAGACTCAGGGTTTACTTTTTCATTTTAATTTTTGGTGATGCTGGGGTTTGAACTCAGGGCTCCGAACCTGTTAGCAGGCCCTTTTGATCACTTTGCTTATATTTGCTTATATTTACTTATTTATGTGTTTATTTTGCGGTACTGGGGTTTGAATTCAGGCCCTTCACCTTGAGCCACTCCAACCCTTTTTTGTGAAGAGTTTTTTTGAGATAAGGTCTCACAGAACTATTTGCCCAGGCTGGCTTCGAACCGCGATCCTCCTGATCTCTATCTCCTGAGCAGCTAGGATTACAGGCATTAGTCACCAGCACCTGGTGTTGCTTTGGTTATTTTGGAGATAGGGTTTTTCTTTTTGCCCAGGACTTGCCTGGACCGTGATCCTCCTACTTTAAGCTTCCTGATGTCTCTCAGACGACAGGTATGCACCACCTCACCCAGCTTTTTTTTTCTGTTGAAATGGGGTCTCACAAACTTTTTTGCCCAAGCTGGCTTCAAACCGTAACCCTTCCCATCTTAGCTTCCCAAGTAGCTGGGATAGCAGGCATGAAGCTACCAGCACCTAAGGTTTTTTTTGTTTCTTTGTTTTTAAGATGGGGTCTTACTCTGCCTCTCAGGCTAGCCTGGAACTCCTGGGCTGAAGTGATCCCTCCACGTTGGCCTCCACAGTAGATGGGAAGGAGAGGTTTATGTCATTGTACCTGGTTGATGTCATTTTTTTTCTAAAGGTCATTTTTAGGATGGTGGTTCAGAGAGTGGAGATTTGTTCCCTCTTCTACTTAATGATTGGATATTCTTGAGCAAATTAATACAAATTGGGAGAATGAGCCAGGTGTGGTGGTTCACCCCTGTAATCCCAGCAATTTAGGAGGCATAAATAGGTGGACTATAGGCCAAGGTAGCTGGGGCATAAATGCAAGACCCTATTAAAAAAACAAAGCAGTCAGATGCTGCTCACGCCTGTAATACCAGCTACTCAGGAGGCAGAGATCAGGAGGATCCCAGTTCAAAGCGAGCCTGGGCAAATAGCTCATGAGACCCTGTCTCAAAAAACCCATCACAGAAAAGGGCTGGTGTAGTGGCTCAAGGTGTAGGCCCTGAGTTCAGATGCCAGTGCTGTAAAAATAAATAAATAAATCATAAATAATAATAATAATGACCAGAGCAAAAGAGCTGGTGCAGTGGCTCAGGTGGTAAAGCGCCTGCCTAGAGTGAGGCCCTGAGTTCAAATCCCAGTGCCACCACCCCCAGTAAAAATGGGAGGGTGAAGGGGGTGATGGTGAGATTTAAATAATCCATCAGCCGGTAAACCTCAGCAACCCCTGAGTGTTCCAGGGGCTGTCCCCACCCCAGCCCTGGGGACAGGCACTACCCAATCCCAGCCTGAAGTCCTCAGACCAGATCAGATTCAAACCTCAGAGGTTTTCAGACATCTAAGGGGTCATGCGCCACATGGACCACTGAGCATCCCTCCCCTGACAGGCAGGGGCACAGGACAGCCCGGGCACCTCAGTGCCTGGGTGCTAAGAGACTCTTCCTCCCCGTGTGCCAGGCCCGGGCTCACCTTGCTGTCAGACCTGCCATAGGGGATCTGCAGCCGGTCCATGGCCTCGATCATGGCTTGCATGGAGACGAAGATGTTCTGATAAACCAGCGACCGGAAGCCCTTGCGGTCCTCCTCCGAGTAGCCGGCGCCATGGAGAATCCGCATCTGCTTGATGAACGTGCTCTTCCCGCTCTCGCCCGGGCCTGGGGACAACCGGCCACCAAACCCCTACTCAGAACTGCAGGACTCCCTCCTGGGCATCCAGCCAGCCTGCCGAGGCCCAGATGCCACCCTCTGCCAGAGCCCCGCTCTGCAACCCTGGGCCTGTGACTCTGCCTCAGTTTCCCCATCTTGTGGATGGCAGCAGACTCTGCCCACTGGTGAAGGTCAGAGTGGTAGGAACTCACTTTAAGAATCCCATAGTGAACCTCATAAAACTAAAAAGCTTCTGTTCATCAAAAGAAATGGTCTCTAAACTGAAGAGAACACCCACAGAGTGGGAGAAAATATTTGCCAGCTATACATCAGACAAAGGACTGATAACCAGAATATACAGGGAACTTAAAAAATTAAATTCTCCCAAAACTAATGAACCAATAAAGAAATGGGCACGTGAACTAAACAGAACTTTCTCAAAAGAAGAAATTCAAATGGCCAAAAAACACATGAAAAAATGCTCACCACCTTAGCAATAAAGGAAATGCAGTTAAAACCACGCTAAGATTCACTCACCCTGTTAGAATAGCCATCATCAGCAACACACAACAACAGGTGTTGGCGAGGATGGGGAAAAAGGAACCCTCTTACACTGTTGGTGGGAAGTAGACTATACAACCACTCTGGAAAAAATTGGAGACTACTTAAAAAAGCTAGACATTGATCTACCATTTGATCCAGCAATACCACTCTTGGGGATATACCCAAAAGACTGTGACACAGGTTACTCCAGAGGCACTGCACACCCATGTTTATTGCGGCACTATTCACAATAGCCAAGTTATGGAAACAGCCAAGATGCCCCACCACTGACGAATGGATTAAGAAAATGTGGATCTATACACAATGGAATTTTATGCAGCCATGAAGAAGAACGAAATGTTATCATTCGCTGGTAAATGGATGGAATTGGAGAACATCATTCTGAGTGAGGTTAGCCTGGCTCAAAAAACCAAAAATGTATGTTCTCCCTCATATGTGGACATTAGATCAAGGGCAAACACAACAAGGGGATTGGACTTTGAGCACATGATAAAGCGAGAGCACACAAGGAGGGGTGAGGATAGGTAAGACACCTAAAAAACTAGCTAGCATTTGTTGCCCTTAACGCAGAGAAACTAAAGCAGATACCTTAAAGCAACTGAGGCCAATAGGAAAAGGGACCAGGAACTAGAGAAAAGGTTAGATCAAAAAGAATTAACCTAGAAGGTAACACACACACAGGAATCAATGTGAGTCAATGCCCTGTATGCTATCCTTATCTCAACCAGCAAAAACCCTTGTTCCTTCCTATTATGGCTTATACTCTCTCTACAACAAAATTAGAAATAAGGGCAAAATAGTTTCTGCTGGGTATTGAGGGAGGGGGCAGAGTGGGTGGTAAGGGAGGGGGTGGGTGCAGGGGGGAGAAATGAACCCAGCCTTGTATGCACATATGAATAATAAAAGAAAAATGGAAAAAAAAAAAAAAAGAATCCCACAGTGAGCCGGTGCCAGTGGCTCACACCTGTAATCCCAGCTACTCAGGAGGCAAAGATCAGGAGGATCATGGTTCAAAGCCAGCCTCAGGCAAATAGTTCTCAAGACCCTATCTTAAAAATCCCCAACACAAAACTGGCAGAGCGGCTCAAGTGGTAGAGCGCCTGCCTAGCAAGTGTGAAGTCCTGGGTTCAAACCCCAGTACCACCAAAAAAACAAAAAAACATGCCCACAGCAGTGGTGGGCAAAGCTACCTGCTTTTCACGGCCTGCAAGTTTTTTACATTTCATGAAAATTTAGCAGTTTAATACTTGTTATAGTTATGGCTCATATATTTTCTTTTCTTCCCCAGCATGCGTTTTTTAAAAATTATAAGGAAAATAACAGCTTATGAATACATACTTCTGTGTCTATTTTTGTTGAAGCTCTGGGGATGAACCCAGAGTCTGTGCATCCTGGATAAGGGCTCGACCACTGAGCTACGTCCCCAGCTACAAATAAAGTTTTATTGGCACACCGACCTTGCTGTTTGCTTACAAAGCCTCCATGGTTGCTTTTGTGCTGAAAGGGCAGAGGTGAGAAATTGGGGCAAAGACTGTGTGGCCTATGAGGAAGCCATCTGGTGCTTTCCAGGAAAAAATGACGGACTCCTGTCTTTGAGACATGTCTACCTACAGTGAGAGTGACGTAACTGTTTTATAATAAGCGTATTGTTTGTGATAATCATTTTGGGAAGACCAACTTTTTGGGGGGGGATTTGTGATGCTGGGGTTTGAACTCAGGGCCTCACGCTTGCTAGACAGGTGCTGTACCACTTGAGCCACTCCACCAGCCCAAGACAAAACTTTTTAAAAACAAGATGTCATTATGTAGCCCAGGCTGGCCTCAAACCTGAAATTCTCCTGCTTCAGCCTCCTGAGTGCTGGGACTATGTGCATGGCCACCATGCCTGGCAGGAAGACAGACTTTCATAAAGGAATAAACTACGACGTGCAGTGACTGCAGTAGCTCAGGGGGACAGAAGAGCCTCTCAGTGCAGGTGGCTCGTGGGGTTGAGAGCTGAAGGCCAGTGGACACTTCATTGCAAGATCTGGAGGAACACCGGGCCTAGCAGTTCACGCCTGTAATCCCAGCTCTTAGGAGGTAGAGGCAAGAGAATCGAGAGGTTGAGGCCAGCCTGGGCTACATAGCAAGATTCTGGCTGAAACAAACAGGACTGGGGATGTGGCTTAGTGGTAGAGCGCCTGAGTTCAGTCCCCAGCACCACTACCGCACACACACACACACACCAAACAACAACAACAACAACAAAATAGATCTGGAGGAACAGCAATCAAGAAAGAGGGCATGGTGAGTGCAAAGGCCCTGAGGTGGGATGGAGCCCCACATGATGGAGAGATAGCAAAGAGGCCTGGGTGGCTGGAGCAGAGGCTCAATGAGGACAGAGGGAGGAGGAGCCAGGGAGGGGACAGGCAGGTCGTGCAGGGCCCTGTGGGCTGCAGGGAGGACTTGGGCTTTGAGCCTGATGGAGGCAGGAGCCATGGAGGGCTGTGGGCAGGGGAGGGAGGACCTGGCTCAGCGCTCATGGGTGCCCCCTGGTGGCCGTGGAGAGGAAGACAGTGGGGGGGACAAGGGCAAGAGCAGGGGGCCAGAAGGAGGCAACTGTGTTGGGCCAGGGGACAATGATGGGGTCCAAGGAGCCCTGTGGAGCTGGAGAGAAGGGCCATATTGGAGAGAGATTTGGGGGATTCCTTATGGGCTGGACAAAGGGCCAGGTCTCTGCAAAGCCCGCTGTAGAATTGATAGGTCAGGGTCAAGGAGAAGCCATGAAGCCACCAGGCCCTACAGGGAGGGATTATTCTGGAATTTTCCACTTTACCCAGGGCTGGGAGGCTACAAACCATGCCTCGTGGTCCCAAGACTGTCCCCCTTCTCAGGGGCACCCTATTCCCTTTTGCAAAATGGAGCATGCCACACAGCAGCTGGAGGTGTGGGCTGGGGGCTCATCCAGCAGCTTGTCCCCCTGCCCAGCTCCTGGGGGACACTGGTGGGGGCCTTCCAGGGACAGGAAGTAGGGATGGGGTTCCTCGTACCTCCCCCAGGATGGGGGGGCAACGCTGGAGGAACTGGAATAAACAACAAAAGGAGAACGGGTGGCCTGGTTGGAGCCCAAAAAGAGGAAATGGGAGAGGAGGTGGTGAAGGGGACCAGGGGGAAGTGGCGGAAGAGGACTGCGCCCATTGTCCCAGCCTGGTGCTCTGGCTCCCAGCTCAGGGCTGGCCACCTCCTCTCTGAGCCTCAGTTTCCCCAGATGTAAAGTCTCTTGAACTTGAAGTCCAAGAACATCTGTTGCTATAAAAGACTTGTGGGAAGGGAACGCCCTTAACCACTGCCTAGCAGTTCTTTTCCTGGCACTGGGATTTGAACCTAGGGCCTCATGTTTGGTAGGCAGGTGCTCTACCACTTGAGCCACTCCCCCAGCTCTTTCTTGTGATGGGTTTTCCGAGATAGGGTCTCTGAAACTTTTTGTCCATGCTGGAAACTGAGATCCTCCTGATCTCTGCCTCTTGAGTAGGTGGGATTATAGCTGTAAGCCACCAGTGCCCAGCTCAATTACTTTCTATAAATGGACAGGTAACCCTTTTTTTTTGGCAGTGCTGTGGTTTGAACTCAGGGTTGCCAGGGAGCCGGTCTACCATTTGCTCCACTCTGCCAGCCCTTTTTGCTTTAGTTATTTTTCAGATAGGATCTCTCATGTTTTTGCCTGGGCCTCAGATTGCAATCCTTCTATCTCTGCCTCCTGAATAGCTGAGATTACAGGCTTGAGCCACTGGACCCAGCACAATTGTACCTGTTTACACAACAAGCTATTTCGGTAAATATCCTGGGGATATTTACATTATTGATAATGATAATCACCCCTCTCTTTCTCTTGCTCTCTCTTGCGATAGGGTCTCTCTATGCAGCCCAAGCTAGCCTTGAATTCACAATCCTCCTGCCTCAGCCTCTGACCGCTGGGATTACAGGAGTGTAGCACCATGCCAAACTCACCCTTCTATTATTACACCTCCATGCTCCCCTCACCCTGCCTCAGTAATTAATAGCGACAGTAGTAACACAAAGCATGATGTGCCTCCTGCCATCTCCTGGGCACCAGGCTAAGGTGCTGTGTACCCCTGGTCCATCCTCACAAACTCAACTATTTCCCATTTGCACGGGAGACACAGGCATCAGAGAAGTCAAGTAATTTGCCTGGAGTCACACAGCCAGTGGAAGACCAGGTAATGAACCCAGGTCTCTGTGTGTTCTGCACCAGAAAAATGGGACGTGATGTGACCAGTTGGGCTGTTTCCATGGACACAGGGACACTAGGCAGCTCCCACTGGCCCCACTGAGCCCTTTGGCAGAGGACTGGCCCACTTGGTCTCCTCCCTCCCCGTTGTCTGAATTCTCAGGTCTCCCCCAGAGGGGCAGAGAGCAAGCGGAAGGCTCACCCAACAACACACAACAGTTGGATTTATTTTCTTGAGCTGATCTGATTTTTTTTTTGCTTCTGTTTTTTTTGTTTCTCTAATGACAAAAATAATAGCAATCCTGGTTGTCACCTACAGAATAGACTTGGTGGCTCATGAATGCATTATAACCCAGAGTCTGAAAAATGTTACCAAAACTCTGTGTTTGTGGCCCCTTATGGTCCTGATGTCACAGAAGCCACTGGGCCCCCTCCAGCTCCCAGGCAGAAGCGGGGCGCTGCGGTCCGTTGTAGGAAACTGTGAGAGGCATGGGGGCATCGGGGAGAGCCGTTCCCACCTGCGGGGGCCCCCACAGCCCAGACGGGAAGCGGCTGCTTCCTCCCGAGGGTGGAGGAGGAAGTGGAAGCCGGCAGATCCCGGGAGGAGCCCAGGGAGCTGTGCCAGGCCCGGCTGTCACGAGGGTCCAGCACCAGCCCCAGGGACCAGGAGCCCGGCCTGGGCAATGGGGGAGAGACACGAGCCTCAGCTGCTAAGTTTGGCTCCAGTTCAGACCAGCTGCAGACCCTAGACAAATTCTACCACCTTCCTGGGCCTTTGCATCCCTGTCCCTCATTGGGGTTCTGTGGCTTTTGGAACTAGAATCTCAGCTGTGTGACCTTGGGCAACTCACTCTACCTCTCTGAGCCTCACAAGGCTAGGACAGAGCTGGTTCTTTTAGTGGCTTCCTTCTGCCTCTCCCTCCCCCACTCAACATGGGGATGACATCACACTCGGGACAGACATGCCCAGGATCCCCTTAGCCAGCTTCCTCAAAAGGTGCACATCTCCAGGAAACAAAATGACTTTTGGATTCAATTCCTATTTTCAGAGATGGGGGGAGATGTAGAGGCAGGGGTGCTCTACACCCCAGTTCATGGTGCTGCTACCAGTGATTGGGGGCATAGACAGCTCCTCCACCACAGTGGAAGAAGGGGCTCCCAATTTGGGGCTAGCTGAGCATATGGCTGTTCAACGTCTATGGAAAACTGCCCGAGTCTGGACTCATTCGTACATCTGTTCTCATCCAGAGACAGGATCAATGAGCAAATAAGTGCCCGAATGAACAAACCCAACACAGGAAGGGGAAGGAGACTGGTGGGGCTCTTTGCAGCCAGGGGAGTCACAGAGTTCTTCTCCACGGAGGTGACACTTGGCCTGAGACCCGCCTGGAGTGAAAGGGTCAGCTGCGCGATGGCTCTGGTGAGGAGGCTGAGAGCTCTGGATGGGGCAGGTGCAAAGGCCCTGTGGTAAGGGATCAATGAGCCTGAGATGTTCAAGGAGGGGTGGCTCAAATCGATAAACGGAGGAAAGGAGGAATGAGGACACACCAGTTCAGATCCTATGGAAGCTAACAGGCTAACTAGGAAAGGTGGCTTTTTGTTGTTGTTTTTGTGGACTGGGGTTTGAACTCAGGGCCTCATGCTTAACTAAAAAGCAGGCGCTCTACCACTTGAGCCACTCCACCAGCACATTTTTTTAATGATGGGTTTTTTTTTGAGATGGGGTCTTGGAAACTATTTGCCTGGGGCTGGGTTTGAACTGCGATCCTCCTGATCTCTGCCTCCTGACTAGCTGGGATTACAGGTGTGAGCCACCAGCACCCGGCTGGGAAGGTGGCATTTAAAAATAGTACTTATTGGGCTGGAAGTTTGGCTTAAGTGGTAGAGTGCTGCCTAGCAAGCACAAAGCCTTGAGTTCAAACCCCAGTACCACCACAAAGGAAAAGAAAAGCCAGGCACCAGTGGCTCACACCAGCAATCCTAGCTACTCAGGGTGGAGATCAGGAGGGTTCAGGCCCGAGGCCAGTCTGAGAAAATAGTTCACAAGATCCCATCTCCAAAATGGCTAGAGCAAAATGGACTGCACGTGTGGCTCAACTGGGACAACGCCTGCTTTGCAAGGTCGAAGTCCTGAGTTCAAGTCCCAGTCTCACCACACACAAAGGAAAAAAAATGCCCTTTATTTATTCATTCATTTCTTTTTGTCAAGGCGCTGGGGCTAGAACCCAGGACCTTGCACCTGCTAGGCAAGTGTCTAAGGGGTGCTGTAAACTTCTAGCGGCATTTTATTTCTTTGTTTTTGAGACAAGGTCTCACTGTGTAGCTCAGGTTGGCCTTGGACTTGCTGTCCCCGCTTCTGTCTGTAATCCTCGCTGGGAACACAGGCATGTACCACCACACTCAGCTCTACCAATCCATCGGACAACTTAGACGAAATGAACAGATTCTTTGGAAGACACAAATTTCACCCAAGAAGAACTAGACAGTAGACAGCCTGGACAGCTCTACCTAACATAATAAATGATGCATTTATATATATATATGCTTTTTATTTTGAGGCACTGGGGTTCAAACTCAGGGCCTCACGCTTTTATCATTAATATAATTATAGTCCATGGAAGACATCGAACTGTAATGATGTGTATTAAAGTGATTAAATTGAGTTTTTGGGTTTTCTGTCTGTCTGTTTGTTTGGTGGTACTGGGGTTTGAACTCAGGACGCTACGCTTGCCAGGTAGGTGTTTTACCACTTGAGCCATGGCCCCCAGCCCATTTTGTTTCAGTTATTTTTCAGATAGGGTTTTGCACTTTTTGCTTGGGGCCACCTGGATCAAGATCCTCCTTTCTACGCCTCCTACATAGCTGGGATTATAGCTGTGCACCACCCTGTCCGGTTGAAGGTGCAGTTCTTACAGATTTCACTGTCCCCACTCCTGGGCTGCCTCTTCCCATGCAGCAGGGGAAGAATGATGGTAACCATAAAGGGGTGACCAACCTTCTTCCTGGGGCAGCCCCATGAGTTGGAAAGACCTGGGACCTTCCCCAGCCCCAGCCTGAGGATCAGGGATCAGGAAACCCTCGGAGGCAAGCCTTCCTGCATTTAGGCAGCTGGGGACATGGTGGAGGATGATGACAGGAGAAGCAGAGACAGAAGGACTTAAAACCCCCAAGAGGTAGAGTGCCAGCCTGGCAAGTGTGAGGCCCTAAGTTCAAATCCCACTACCACCGAACAAACAAAGAGCCTGGTGTTTCAGAATTTGCAACCTGGAGCCTTAAAATCCTTCCCTCCATCAACCCCAAAGCTCCCGTGGGGTCATGTCCACTTGTCCTTGCTGCACAAGCTATTTTGTTTGTTTATGGGTTTCTCCTGCTTATGGTCTGTCCCACTCACTTGAAGATAGATCCACAGGGCCATATTACTCAACAAACCCCGACTGACTGGCGGACTGACTGACTGAGTGTGAATGAATGGAGAGTAATGAAGAGTGGCTGTCAACCAATGAAACCCGGGACCCGACCTCCCTGAGCCAGGCGCCCTTCACAGATGGAGGAAGAGGTTGGGCAGCCCCTCCCCGGCCAGGCAGGCCAGCAGGTTACTCACCCTCATTCCCTTCCTATGACACAGGCAGGTTGGGCATACTGGGCCTGCCAGGTAGCACAGAGCCTGCCGGGTCACTTGATCCAAGCCACCTCTGTTCCCACCTGTGCCCTGCACGGTGGAGAGGCCGGGGCCCGGGGCCTCAGTTCCCACCACGGACTAGACATGTGGTTTTCCTGTGCCTCAGTGTTCTCATCCGGGAAATGGGCCCCCAGGCTCCTGCTGGTCCTGGGTTACCGTGTCACCATCATCCTTCCTGTCCTCGTCCCGTGGCCTGGCCTGACACTCACCAAGCAGCAGCAGCTTCAGCTCCCCGCGGTCCTGCTTCTTCTGCTCCAGAAGGATCTTGTTGATCTCCTGGTCGATCCTCACAGCCGCCTTCTCCTCCTCCGTCAGACAACAGGGGCAACAGTGCCAGGTCAGCGATCGGGCCATGGTGGGGGGCCTCAGAGGGCACCAGGGGGCATCGCCCCCAGCCCCCCACTGGCCAGGGTGCCCCCGGCCCTGCCGGCTCTGGGGTGCGCTGCCTTCTTCTTGGGGGTCACCCCAGGGACCCTGATGTCCCTGCTGGGGCCCGGCTCAGCCTGGGTGAGGCCCGTGTGCTGGGAACAGGGCGGGGACAGCCCAGGCAGGAGGCGGGGAGGCTCGGGGCTCCCGCCCACCTCCAACTTGCCCAGACCTGGCCCGACAGGTTGGTGTCAAAGAGTGGCACAGGGTGCCAGGCGAGGAGGGGAGGGCGAGGTGGCCGACAGACGAGTCCCCACGGCAGCCCCGGCCTCCTTCCTCATTCTGGAGAAGAGTGGCTGAAGCTCGGCTGTCTCCCCAGCTGGTCCCTTTTTCTGGACCAATTAGGAACTGAGCGCACATCTGTCACTAGCAACTGGCTTCGGGACAGCTGAGGCCAGGTGGCCCTGTGTCTGTATGGGCTTCACTAGGCTCCTGTCAACCCTGGCTGCTCTTTTGGCCCCGTTAGGCAGATGGGGAAACTGAGGCACAGAGCAAGGGGGTGGCTTCCCAGGGCGCAGTGCAGCTAGGATGACACAGAGCCAGGAACCCAGAGGTTAAGTGGGCACAGGCCGACTGTGGCGGGGAGACGACTGTTTCTTCCCTCTGAAAACACCTCGGGAGTCAGGCGTGGTTCCATTTTGCCCAGTCAGGGACACGATGACAGAACCTGCCTAGCATTCTGGTTAGGGAGACAGATTAGAAAATAACAATTTAAAAAATGTCAGAGCTTGTAGGATGGTGACACAATTCTGAGAGAAAAAAGCAAGCAGGGAAGTTTGGGGGTTGGGGTGTGTGGCTTTAAACAGGGAGTGGAGACAGGGGACAAGGAGACCTGGAGGAGAAATCAGACTGGCCCTTAGGGCATCAAAGGACTTTTGGGAGTTGAGTCCATGGGTCAAAAGAGGCCACCCTGCCCTGTCCCTGCACCCCACCGTGGACCCCAGGGGCCCTAAAAAAAAGGACAGGGACTAGAGGAGGTGAAAAACGTTCCTTTGTGGGCCATCACAGCTAGAGAAGCATCTCCAATCCAGCAGAGTGCACAGCCCGTCCTAAGAAGCTCTAGAAAGTTCTAGGACGTTCTGGCTTTCCCTCCTCCCCGCCCCCTGGGGATTCAGCTATGCAGGGCACCCTGGACCCCTCCCACGCGAGGCACTGGAGAGGCTCAGAGAGGGCGTGCGCTGCGCCCAGGGCCACACAGCAGCCGTTGGCCCAGCCGTCCCTCTGTCCCTCCCCCACCGGGCTGCTGGTGGCCGTTGGCGCCCGTCCCTGCCCGGCCTGGAAGAGCAACGTGCGGTTTTCGGGCTGTTGATTCATAATGAAGCCGGATGGGAAGTGTGATAGGGGCCCCTAGCCTGGGCCGGGGCCATTGCCGTCTGCCTGCCCGCCATGTGTCCCCGGCCGGATGCCAGGGGCCCTGAGCTCTGGCCAGGTGGAGAGGCAGGGGTGGAGCCCGCAGGCTGGCCGAGGTGCGCGCTGGGGACACCGAGGCCACCCCGCCTGGCAGCCCCCTGCTGGCCCCGTGGGTGGGGGCTCTGCTCGGCGGCGGATGGTGGTCGCTCCCCAAGCAGGCGAGGCGGCTTCCTGCGCATGCGCGGTGCAGCTCTGGCCTCGGTCGTGAACGGAGTTCGTTGCGAAGGGCAGGGGTGAGGCCCGTGCTGAAATCCAGAAAATGTTACCCACTGGGTGTGGCAGCGCTTGGGAGGCTGAGGCAGGAGGCTCTCAGGTCCCAGGCCAGCCTGGGCCACAGAGCAAGACTCTGGCTCAAACTTTGGGTTTTTTTTTTTTTTTTTTTGCAGTACCGGGGTTTGAACTCAGGGCCTTCACCTTGAGTCACTCCACCAGCCCTTTTAGGTGAAGGGCTGTTTCAAAATAGGGTCTCCTGAACTATCCGGGCTGGCTTCGAACCATGATCCTCCTGATCGCTGTCTGCTGAGTAGCCACTGGTACCTGGCTCAAAACCTTGTATTGTCAGCGTATGACCATTCAAAAATAAAACTGAAAATTAAAAAAGAAAGAACCTGTAAAAAATAATGAAACACTTAAAAACAAAACACACACACAGGTGCGGACCATCTCATATTACTCGTCCTGCGAATGTTCCCAATTGCTTCCCCCTGCCCCTCGTCGGGGACCATTCCTGACTTCTTGGTATCCATATTTGTGTTGGGGGTCTTTTTTGCTAATAAAATTCACTTCCATTACGGCTTTTTCCGTTTGGTTGGGTTTTGTGTTTGCTTTGGTGCGGGGATGGAACCCAGGACTGGCACACGCTGCACCACCACGGGTCCCCGCCCACCCTCTTGCTTTTAATTTCTCGAATTTGCATTGCATCCTATTCACTTTCTTCTCGTGTACTGTCCTGTGAATGTTAACAAATGTCTCTTGGGAGGCTGAGAACGGGAGGATCTCCATTCAAGGCCAGCCCCTTCTCCAAAGTAACCAGAGCAAAATGCACTGCAGGCGAGGCTCAAGCGGTAGAGCGCCTGCTTTCCAAGTGCAAAGCCCCTGCTTTCCAAGTGCAAAGCCCCAAGTTCAAATCTCAGTCCCTCACAACACCACCACCAAAAGGTATTGATTATTTGTAAATTACCACTACAAATAACATTCAGAAGAAAGTTCCACTCCCCCCCAACTCCTTCCTGGTCACTCCCTTCCTCCTTCCCCAGCCCTGGCAACCACCGCTCTGCTCTTAACCACTTTGGTTTTCAACTTTTGGAGAATGTCAGACACGTGTCATCACCCACAATGCGGCTAGACAGACTGGCTTCTTTCACTTAGCATTTGTTATGATTCTGCCCAAAATTCGTTCTTTTTGATGGCTGAGTAATATTCCTCTGCATGGAGCCATCACCCTTTATCCATTAAAGGACATTTTGGTTTTATTTCAACACAAGAGCAGCCAAATGCATTTGTTCACATCTTGAATGATCAGTGGTTTTCACATCTTGAGAGACATTCCTAGAAGTGGGACATTGGGTCGTATGTCACTGGATGCTCAACTTTGTAAGAAAGGATTGAATGTTTTGCAAAGAAGCTGCATCATTTTGCATCCCCACAGCAAGGTGTGAGAATTCCAGTTGCTCTGTAATCTTGTGGATACTTGGTATTCTCTGTGTTTATCTTTGGCAATTCTAACGCATGGGCAGTGCATCCCCTTCCCGCGTTTTGTTTCCGAGGTGGAAATCTGCGATGGTGGACTATCCGTTTTTACGTTCTTTTGCCATCTGTATGTCTTTTTTGGTGAAGCATGTATTCAAATATTTTCCCATTTCCTTCTCTGGGTTGTTTTATTACCACACTTTGAGAATTCTTTATGAATTCTGGATGCAAGTCCTCTATTGGATATGCAGCCTGCGAGCTGTTTTTGCCTAGTCTGGGCTCAGCTTTTCATTCTCTTCATTGTGCCCTTTGTACAGCAAAAGCTTTTAATTTGCATGATTTTCACTTCATCTTTTTTTTTTTTGACGATGCTGGAGTTTGAACTCAGCGCTTCGCACTTGCTAGGCAGGTGTTCTACCACTTGAGCCACTCTGCCAGCCCTCTCTTTCTTTCTTTCTTTCTTTAGCTTACTTTGTAGATAAGTTCTCCTGCTTTTTGTCTGAGCAGTCCCCAAACCAAGATCATCCTACCTCTGCCTCCTGCTGTAGCTGGGATTACAGGTGTGAACCACCAGCACTGGGCTACTTTGATTTCTTTCATCAAGGATATAGACTTTTCAGTGTACAGACTTGTACATATTTCTCCTTAAGTATATCTATATATTTTTTTCCTTTTGAACTCAGGACCATCACCTTAAGCCATTCCACCAGCCCTTTTTTGTGATGGGTTTTTCGAGTTGCTGGGATTACAGGCGTAAGCCACCAGCACCCAGTTAAATGACTCATATGTACTGAAAAACCAGTTGTGATAGTGGCTTTATTGCATGGGTCTAGAACCAAACACATAGTATCTCTGAGGTATGTTTGTAAAGACCTTTCTTCTTTTCTTTTCCCTTCCTGCCTCCCGTCCTCCCTCCCTTCCCTCTCCGCCACCCCCCCTTTTTTTTGAGACGGTCTTGCTAAGTAGCCCAGGTTGGCCTCAAACTTGCAATCCTCCTGCTTCAGCTGCCTGAGTGCTGGGATTACAGGCGTGCACCACCATGTCCGGTTGTTTTTCCTTTAGAACAGGCATGATGTGAACTTGTTCCTCCAGGGGTGCTTAGGCACTGAGGCATCAGACTGCTCAGAGGTTGCCTTGGGTGACACCTGCTGGATACAGCTGGATATGACCGCTGCCTTCAGAATCCATCTCTTGGTGTCCACACCCCAGTCAGACAACTCCCTTCTATGCTACGGATACCTGGCCAGCTCCACCCACCGCCTAGACAGGGTGTCCCATCTTCCTGGTCCCGGGCTTCTGCACTAACCCATCCCCCATCTCCTCCCACAGAAGCCAGACGGCACCCGTGAGCACCAAGTGAGGCCCTCCCTCCCCTGCCCACAGCCCTCCATGGCTCCCACCTCCCTCGGGCTCAAAGCCCAAGTCCTCCCTGCAGCCCACAGGGCCCTGCACGACCTGCCTGTCCCCTCCCTGCCTCCCTCCTCCCTCTGTCCCCCTCGCTGCCTCTGCTCCAGCCACACAGGTCTCCTCGCCGCTCCTCCATCACCCAGGCTCATCCTGCCCCAGGGCCTTTGCACAGGCTGTGCCTCTGCCTGGAATGGTTTTATGTTTTTTCCTCAAGTAACAGTACGGTTCCTTCCCTCTCCTCTCCCAGGGTCCTACTCACATGCTGCCTTCTCACAAAACCCTTTCCTGAGTGGCCCAAGGGGCCCATCCTGCCCTCGTCCTCTGTCCTGTTTCTGTGATGACCACCACCTCCCCGCTGAGTCTGCAGTGTGTTGGGCAGCAGCCAGCACCCAGAGGACCCTGAGCCTGTCTGCCTGATGGATTAGGAACTGAACCAGGAGAAACTGGAAGGCGGAGCTGGGCTGGTGGGACGGCAACACAGGACAGGCGCTGTGGGAAGGAGGCAGAGGCAGGTATTCCTCAAAACACTACCCGGGGCTGCGTGGGGCACACGAGAGTGCTTGCCTTGTGTACCGGGGCCCTGGGCTTATCCCTGGCACATGAAAACCAACCAACAGAGCCTTTCAACAATCACCTCATGACCCAGCAATTCCACAACCTGGATGTGTGCCAGAAAGAATTGAAAGCTGACATTGGGCACTATGGCTCACATCTGTAATCCCAGCTACTCAGGAGGCAGAGATCAGTTTGATTGTGGTTCAAAACCAGCCTGGGCAAATAGTTCATGAGCCTCTATCTCAAAAAAATCCATCAGAGAAAAGGACTTGCAGAGTGGCTCAAGTGCTAGAGCACCTGCCTAGCAAGCATGAGGCCCTGAGTTTAAATCCCAGTGCTGAAAAAAAATTCAAACCTGGGGCCCAAGACATACACGGAGCCGCAAATTCACGACACAATTCACAATAGCCAACTCAAATATCCACGGGCAGATGAGGGGACGCATGCAGGCTGTCTGCCTACACAGTGGAGCATTATTCAGCAGTGAAAAAGGAGTGGGAATCTGACTCATGTTATGACGTGCAGGATACAGTGCTCAGTGAAATGAGCAGACACAGGTCAGACGCCGCAGGACACCACTCACAGGAGGTCCCTAGAGTTGTCAGATCCACAGAGATGAGGTAGGGGGTTCTGGGGCCAGGGAGAGGAAGGGCTTAGTGTTGATGGAAACAGAGCTTCAGTTCTGGAGATGGATGGTGGGGACGGCTACAAAGCCACGTGCACAGGCTTCATGCCCCTCAACTGTGCATTCCAGCGTGGGTAAGATGCTGGATTCTGGCTGGGCACCAGTGGCTCACGCCTGTAATCCTAGCTGCTCAGGAGGCAGAGATCAGGATTGCAGTTTGAAGCCAGCTCAGGCAAATAGTTCACGGAACCCTATCTTGAAAAAACCCATCACAAAAAGAGGGCTGGTGGAGTGGCTCAAGCTGAAGGCCCTGAGTTCAGACCCCAGCAATGCAAAAAAAAAAAAAAAAAAAAAAGGAAAAGATGGTAGATTACATTCTGTCATGTGTCTTTTTCTGCAAATTACAAAAAAGACTTTTTTTATTGGCAGTGCTGGGCTTCAAACTCAGGACCTCGAGCTTGCTAGGCAGGTGCTCTATCACTTGAGCCATGCCTTCAGCCTTTTTTTTGCTTTATTTTTTCAGATAGGGTCTACTGTTTTGCCCAGGACTGGCATCAGATTGCAATCGTGCTACTTATGCCTCCCACATAACTGGGATTACAGAAGTGCACCACCACACCAGGCCCTATTTAACAAGGGAGTGACAGCCAGGTGCACAGAGTTCAGCAGGTCCAGTGTCCTGGATTTGGAAATGCAGCTTCAGGAGGGATGGTCCTCTCTGTGGGGTTTGGGCTCGGCCTCATGCCCCCCACCACCCCGTACCCCAAATCTGGTGATTTCTTAGCAGGGCTGCCCAGTGAGTGGCTCAGAGAATGACTTGAAGTCAGAACAGGCCCAGGGAGGTGGTCAGTGCTGAGGCGCACACCAGTGGTACCTTGAGGCTCCTCAGGGCCAGGCCTGTGCTCACCGCCTTATCAGCAAAAGTAAATACACCAGAAGAGGCTGCAGCATTTAGGAACAAAATTTATTCCAATTTAAAACAGAATTTACTTCAGGAGAAAGATATGAAAAGTCCATTTCCATCAGGAACCTCTGGATTAGGGGGTCAGGGCCCCGACCTGCTGCGCCGACCCTGGTGTCCCCGCCACGGCTGTGGGAGGTTGACAGCAATGCCCAATCCTCCCTCCCATCCCCCAGCACGCACAACACATGCATCGCAAATGACGAAAGGCTTACAAACAGGATTTTATAGAATATTCTCTTTTAAATAGGTTTAAGTTGTCTGAAATCAGGACTGTGTAATATACAAGGATGACCAGGTGTGTCCGCCAGGCTGGCAGCCAGGTCTTGGTGCCTCCACTGGGGTCTTGGCATGAGACCACCTTTGGGGCAGGGTGGCTGGCACTCGATCTGCCACGGTGAACGTGGAGAAGCCAACACACCTCTCTCAGCTGCACTGGCACATGGTGAGAGCCATCTGTCGTGGCAAGGCTGGGAGCTGGGACAGCAGGGTGGCCGCCTGTCCTGACCTGGTGGTGCAGGCACAGGGACCGCCCTTCGTGCCCCGGGCAGGGCTCTGCTGCCCACCACCCTCCCCTGGGGCTAAGCCCACTGCCTTCCAGGAGCTCACCAAGGCCTGGCATGCGGGCTTTAGCTGTGGCCCTTGGGGACCTGGGATGCTTGGCACTGCCCAGGAAGGGTTCAGACTTGGCCAGCTCGGGATGCCTGGGCCACCATGCTGAAGGACTCCACCCTTGGGCTATCAGCAGAACCTAAGTCCTCTCCCTTTTCATGACATCAAGGTGTCTGCTCTGCAAGGACCCTAAGCCCAGGGCAGGTCCAAGGACAGCGACAGCTGTGTGGTGGCCTGGGCAGTACCGGGTGCTGCTGACCCAGCTCCAGGGCTTAATGGCACAAACCTTCATAGGTAGACACATGGCACAAGCAAGGATGCTTGGCTGGAGACAGGAGAGGACCCCACATGAGGAAGCTGGGGAACCCCCAGGCTGGTCACCGCCTCAAGGCCCCTGCTAACCCTCCCACATGAGGATGAGGAGCACAGCAGCTGCGCTGCGGGTTGGTTTATGACTGGACTGAGTTGGTTCTCTGGTAATTTGTCCAAGGCCCAAACCAGCCACCACTGCCACCCAAGGTCCCAGTGAGGTAGGTGGGATGAAGGCATCACCACCAATCCGTGTCTGGAATGAATGTGCAAAAAAAAAAAAAAAAAAAGGAAAAGGAAAAAACTGACAAAACAAAACAAAAACAGTGTAGTGTTCAGATGGCAACAGATGGTAAGCGTCTGCCCCAAGCACGGCCCTCACTCCCTGCCTTGAGCTCAGAGAGGCCTTGAGGATGTGGCCCCATGGGCCTGGCTCAGTGCACGGCTGTGGCCCTGGCCGTGGCCACCTGGGCCTGGAGACTACGGGGCACCAGCCACCACCTTCCATGTGCTGCTCCCTGCCCTTGGCCCTTGGTGGCCTCGCTAACTTAAGTGTTGGCTCTGGCTTCACAACATGGGAGCAGAACAAGTGCTTAGGTGGAGGCCATGCACACACAGGGCCATCAGCAGTGTCCCCTCTTCTGTTGCTGCCTCTTGGGGACAGACCTGAGAATATTCTGAAAAAGTCCCCACTCTACCTTTGCTGTTTCCAAACTGATTACGATGACAACAACAAAAAAATACAGAGCAAAACAGAGAGCCCTTGTCCAAATGCGCTTCCTCCCAACTGGCTCTGGTCACACAGGCCTCCCCCTGGACCTGGCAGAAGGACATGGGACCCACAGCAACTCAGGTGGGAGGAGGCATGGGGCGTCTTGTTCACCAACAAAGTCAGGTGAACTGTTTTCTCATTTCTTAAAAAAAAAAAAAAAATGGTTAGGCACTTCCCAGGGTGGGCACTGGGTGCCACCCACCCCCACTTCTTGGAGTCCTGGGAGCAGAGAGACAGCATAGGTCATGAGGACGCAGGACATCAATAATTTAAAAGACAAGTCCGCCAGTCTCCGGAAGGAGATGAAACCGAGGCAGAGAAGACAGCTGCCCCAGACCCGGAGGGCGGCCCTGGTGGCTTCATTGCTGTTGACTGGGCCTCAGGACACTGGTTGGCACGGCCTGACTCCACACACAGGCAGGGCTGGGTGAGGGCCGAGTCCCGGGGAGCACGGGGCACACTGGTGTCCTCTGTTCATTTCTTTTTTCTTTCTTTTTTTGCTTTTTTTCTTTTTTTAGAAAAAAATTGAGCCACAAGTCAAGGCCAGAAAAAAAGCTGCCCTTGACCTTGGCAAAAGGTGAGAAGGTGCACGAAGTGTGTAGAAAGAAAGATGTACGTCCCCTGATAACTGTGAAATAAAAACCACTTGTCAAAAAGATGATAAAGAAAACCGGCCCCGCAGTGGCCATGAGGCCCAACGGGCCAGGCACTGCCACCTCTCGGAGGCCATCCGTCCCTGCAGACACCGTGCGGAGGCGCCCGAGTCACACCAGGTTGTACTCCTTCAGGTTCAGCTGCAGGATGGTGTCCTTCACGGCCGCGAAGACAAAGCGGATGTTCTCCGTGTCAGTGGCACATGTGAAGTGCGAGTAGATGATCTTGTCGCTGTCGGGGTTCAGGTCCACAAACATCTTCAAGATGAACTCCCGGGCTGCCTGTGCATCCCGCTGGGGCCCTGGGATGGACCAGGAGGTGAGGGCTATGTCCAGGGCCACCAGGGAGCATGGTATCCCCTCACCCATGGTCTGCACTCACCACAGCCCTCCTCAGTGCGGGGCCCTTCCCCCACTCCCACCCTTCCATGGCCTACACCATGTGCCCCATCTCCACCCCAGGTAAGCTGTCTCATTGGAACTCCGTGGCTCTGCCAAGGCAGGCCAGACCTCCACCCTGGGGCCGCCTACCTGCGCTGCTCCCAAATGCCTGGCCCTGGGGCTCCCCAGGTTCCACCCTCTCTCCTCCCTCGCCTCCCTATGTGACTGCTACCCACGGTGCAGCCCTATAAGCCTGGCCTGTGGAGACCCGAGCCTGAGGCAGAGCAGGACTCCAAGGGCTGGCAAGACACCTGCCCCTGATCCCACCTTGTCCCACCCCAGCCCTGACCTTCAGAGCGAGCCAGTGGCCCACCCCACCCTTAGCTGGCCTCAAAGAAGTCCCATGGGGCGCAGCAAGCACTGCTCCTGGTCCACCACCCCTGCCCTCTGTGGCCATGCCAGGGACCATGCTGCACATGGCTCTGGGGTGTGCTGCGAGAGTCCTCAAGGAGGACTCAGAGCACGATCGGCACCGGATGCCAAGCCCCAGGACGGGCTGCCGATGACACACATAGTTTGGCAGAAGCAGGTGCAGCTGACAGACAACCTGCAGCTTGGAGCCCAGGGGCCAAGGTCACATGGTGACCCCTCCAGCTGCTCTTCCACCCTTCAGATGCCCCGAGGGCCCTCTGGAGGACACCATGGAGGGGAAACAGGCTGCTGGGAGGAGAGTCACCTGGAGTGGAGGTGACATCCCAGGGCTGCTCTGAGGAGCGAGGGGAGCAGAATCTGCTGCCCAGGGCCAGGCCCCATGCCCTCTACCTGGAGCAAGGCTGGGGGCCCCAGGAGCCCCGAGTCCTCCCGCTCCCGGGCCTCACCATCGAACTCTGGGAAGTAGTCGACGAGGTGCGAGTGCAGGACCTTGTCCTCCAGCAGGTCCTTCTTGTTGAGGAAGAGGATGACCGAGGAGTTCTGGAACCAGGGGTAGGTGATGATGGTCCGGAACAGGGCCTTGCTCTCCTCCATGCGGTTCTGCGGGGAGGGAGGCAGGGAGGCAGCGTGTGACCAGGCTGCCTGCAGGCGCCACACGGCAGCAAGGGGACAGTGGGGACCCACCTCGTTGTCCGACTCCACCAGGACCTGGTCGTACTCGCTGAGGGCCACGAGGAACATGATGGACGTCACATTCTCAAAGCAGTGGATCCACTTCCTCCGCTCCGACCTCTGCCCGCCGACATCCACCATCCTGGAAGGAAAGCCCATGCCGCTCAGCCCCTGCCCACACTGCCTGCCATCCCTGTTGCTCAAGAGGTCAGGGTCCTGTCTTTGCCCCGCTAGAGTCAGATGGAACGGTGTGGGGTGTGGTCCTGGAACCCTGCGGGAACGCTCGTCCAAGATGATGCAGTCATCCAACCTACTTGGCCTCGGCTGCACTGTCCACACCCCGCCCCTGCTGCAGGACCCCGCAGAGCGAGTGGGTCATATAAGGTGACACTGCGCACATCCTCCCATGGGCTTTCCTCACCCCTAGATGACCTGATGCAATGTGACATTAGAAGAGCTGGCTGCGCACATAGCTTAGGGGCAATGATAAGAGAAGCACATGTCCTCAGGACAGGCTGGCTGTGAGCCCACGGGCATGGCGCAGAAGCAGGCCAAGACACAGACTGAGGACTAGGCTCTGCGGCAGGTGGGGGGTCCAGAACCCCAGTGAATTTCGGCCGTTGTGTGCAGTGGAGGCCCTGGAGCCAAGGTCCCGGGTCCACAACCCTGGGGCAGAAATCCCTCCTGTTCACCCTGTTCACAGCATCGCTCATGAGCAAGAGTGAAGACTCACACACTTCCTATGTGGAGCCCCAGACAAGTCACAGGGTCCCCACATGGCAGCAGAGGGAAGGGTGGTTCTAACGCCAGGTAAGAAGGGCGGTCAAGGTAGAAAGCAGGAACAGGCTGGGGAAAGGAGGAGGCTAGAAGCTGGCGGACCACGGGGGAGCAGGACGATGGGGCTGCGCCTCTCTGCTGGGTCCTGACTGCTGAGAAGAGGAAGCGCCTTGTTTCCCTCAAAGGAACACAAGCGCAGAAAGGGGTGCAAGAGGAAGGCAGGTGCCCAGGCTGGCGAGTGTCAGTCTGCAGAGGACAGCAAGCACAGGGGGACTGTGGGCATGCCAGGAAGAGTGGTGAGCAGGAGGCACCTTATGAGGCAGCCGCTCAGGAACATCACCACCACTGGGGCCCATGGCACTGGACCACGCTGGCTGACAACACGGTCTCCCCAGTGCACCCAGGTCCCCACACAAGTCCCCCATTTGGGACCAGGCTCTTTTCCCCATGCACTGGGACAACTGCATCACAAACACCTCCAACACAGGCTGGGCCGTACGCTCAGCCCCAGGAGACCCAGCCTCCTTCAGAGAAGGGACAAGAGGCGCTGGCAGAGAATCGGACCCCGCAGAGCTGGGCACCCTGTGCACAGCAGGAGGGGCTGGGAAAGGCCACAGAGAGGAGGTGACTGGGCTGAACTTGGGGAAGGGACAGAACAGTCCCCACAAAGGATGCAGGGAGGCCGGGATTGCACAGAGGCTGAGGGCAGCCATGTGAGATGCGAGGTGGGTGTGAACTGCATACAACGTCATGTCTGGGCCCAGCTGGCCTCAGTTCTACCTTCTGAGGCCAAAGACCCCATAAGAATAAAAAAGAAAAGAAAAATGAAGCCTGCATTTCCACAGACAGCAAACCATCCTTCCTGGGTGGGGGTGGGGGTGGGTGCTGAGTTTCTGAGGATCTCTTGCACCTGCTGAGGCCTCATGGCCCCAGCTCAGAGCCTGGACTGAGACTGGCATGGTAGTGGAGTGGGGGCCTTACAAAAAGAGTGATTTGAACACAGACATGCACACAGGGAGATCACCACAGGAAGATGGAGGCCAAGAAGAGTGAGGCCAAGGGTGCCAAGGAGCCACAGCCTCAGCAGACACAGGGGCAGTCCTGGGACAGGCCCTCCCTCCCAGCCTCAAGAGCAGCCCAGCTCCCCTGACCTTTCCATTTCCTCACGTGCCACTTCCTCCCCGGCCATGCCACCTTGGGAGGCCTGAAGACACTTCTCTTCTGGGTGGTCTCTGAGGACCCTGGTCCCCAGGGGTTCCCACCATCCCTGCATGACCATCCATCAATGGGGAAACTTCCCCTCCCACACCCTGTGCCCAGGCCCCATGGGCACCTGAAGATGATGTTCTCCAGGTCAAAGGGGTACTCAATGATGCCTGTGGTGGGTACACGGACCCGCAGCACGTCCTGTTGGGTGGGCAGGTAGCCTGCGGTGGCGATGCGGTCCACATCAGTCAGGTAGCTGCAATACAACAGGGCAGGGCTGGTCAGGCCTCCTAGGATGACATCCACCCTGTAACAGGACAGGAATCCGCCTGGGAGGCCAGGCTGGGGATACAGAACTATGATGCATGCAGTGAAGTCTGCAGGGACCAGACCCAGGGATGGATACAGGTGTCCAGAGCCTGTTCCAAGCAGCAAGAACAGGATTGTTTTGGGTCCGGGGAGAGAAGTGCCCTGGGCTGGGGTCTCAGTTCAGTGTTGCCCAAGACGGATGATGCACAGGGCAGGCTAGGTGCAGGGGCCACTTTTTAAACCAACTTGGCACCTCAGGGTACCTGTAGGTCTGCAGACAAGGGCAGAGGACAAGGAGGGTGCCTGATGAGGCACCCTCCATGCAATGTCACTAGGGGTGGCTGTCTTCACAGGGCTCCTCAGTTTCCCCTAAACACTCTCTCTCTACCCAAGATCCATGAAGACCCCATGTCCCCTCAGGCCCCCTGAGCTGTGGCTGTTTCCCAAACATCCCCATCTCTGCTGCCCTGGGTGGTCCTGCGAGGGTTGCTCCAGGTTCAGTGCTGCTTTTCCGGGTGGGGATCCTGGGAGAAAGCTGGCCAGGACAGGCTTGGCTGAGCTGCTTAAGTCTAGTTCTTGTTGGTCTGGGCCCCACCACAGCCTCCTGAGGCAGAACACGGGAAGGGAAGACAGGCAGGAAGGGACAGTTGTGCTTCAACCTTGTCTCCTGCAGTCTGTGTCCCCTAGGGCAGGATTGATGGCAAGGAGGGGGAGTCCCAGGCTCCAACCACGTCCATGCAGAGGAGTGGAGAGCTGCTCGAGGCAGGGTCGGCCAGGAGCTCACAAGAGCACAGGCCACCCTCCAGTCGCAAGCAGCGACTGAGGCCTCATGGCCCGTCCTGGTGGGCAATGTACCAGACTGTCCACCCCTCATCCTTCCAGCCTCCTGGAGGACATGTGTCTGCTTACACCATGCCCCATGCTAGCTTTCAGAACCCAGGCAGCTAGAGCTCAGTAGTGACCCTGCTGGCCAGGCACACTCACTACTTGGCGGAGTCAGAGAGCTGGAACTCGCGCCGGCGGTCGTAGCACTCCTGGATGCCGGGGTCATTCCACAGTGTCTTGATGGCATTGACGTACTGGTGCTCGAATGTGGTCACCTTCTCCACATCTACCTCCCGGATCAGGAGAGCATTGGCCTGGGGGTGGGAGGCAAGGCCTGGAGCTTGCGGGAGGCCTGGACACACTAGGAGCCACCACACCTGATGCCATAAGCCCAGGTCACAGCCATTGGAATGGCACTTGGGGACCACCTCAGGGGTCACAAGGACATGCCGTGGAAGGAAACAAGGTGCTTGGCAGATGGCCTGGCTTCGAGGCAGCTCCCAGGGGACAGCACTCTGCCACAGGCCCTCCGTGTTTGCAAAGGCCACACACGCACACCTTGGACTCGCCTTTTGAACATGGGTGCCCAGACATGAGTGGCTGGGAAAGAACCATGCGTGGACGCATCTGTTCTTTCTAAACCAGCAAGACAAGAATGGGGCCAGAGCCCCAGCACAAGGCTGCACAAGCAGTGGCACAGCATGGTGTGGGGAACAAGGGTGCTGCCACTGCCAGAGGCACCAGGACCACCAGGATCTGGGCCCTCCAATACCCCAGCTTATAGAGGGAAACAGAGCCATGCGGCACGGCCAAGTGACCGAGTGTTTGTGTTCTGCCTGGTGCAGTCTTTCTCTTGGGTCAAACGGGTGTCCATTAACCATTGAGAGTGGGCACTGCTCCCAGTGCTGTGGATAGCTTACACAGCAGTGCCCTCGCCAAACCCTAGCATAGGTGGCATGGTCTCAGGCTTTCAGCCAAGGTGGGATGCTGCGTGTGGCTCAGCCACCTGCCATCACAGAGGAAGGATGGCCACACACACATACAGATGCACACAGGGCACACACACTGTCCAGAGGCAGGCAACTCCAGGAAGATTATATTTCCTCTTCTCTGCTCCCCATGCCTGTCCTTGGGTGTTCAGGCTGACATAACCTGCCATGGTGTAGCTACAGGGCTCAAAAGACACATATTTAGGTGGAACCCAAAACTGGGGAATGGGGAAGTCCAGCTTGGACGCTCTCCTGAGTAACAGCTCTGGCCCAATTCCACCTGCAGCCTCCCCTCCCCCACTCCTCAGCCTGGGCACACCTGGGGCACCTGGAAAAGCAGGCGACACTTCCAGAAGACCCCACTGGCCCTGTGCTGCAGATCGGAGCCAGTAGTCTATGTCTGAAAAGGGCCAGAGAGGGTTGCAGGTGTGGCTCAAGCAGCAGAGCACCTGCCTCACAAGCACGAGGCCCTCAGTTCAAACCCCAGTATCACTAAAACAAAAGGAAGGGCAGAGAATAACTCTCTGAGTTTTGAGGTCCCACTCTCTGTCTCTCTTATGTGACTCTCCCACCCCAGCAAAGTAGCCATAGGCAGTATGTGTCAATAAAGCTTTACTTGCAGACACAGCCTGGCATTTGAAACATCTATCTACACATTGATAGAGAACCATGGCCTCACACGTCTGTACCCAGGATAACTGAGCCCCAACCCAATGCTGGACCTGTGCAGGTCCCAGGTGAACTGGAATTGGTGAGGTCATGGGAGGAAGACGCTGAGACTCATCAGAAATCTGACCAAGTGGTCTTAAACTTAAAGTAAATGGCTTAATTTGAACATTTGGATCAGGTGTGATGGTGCATGCCTGTAATCCCAGCACTTGGGAGGCAGAGGCACCAGAATTGTGAGGTCCAGGCCAGCCTGGGCTATTCAGGGAAACCCTGTGTCAAAAAGTCAAAAGGGCTGGGGTGTGGCTCAGGGTTAGAGCACTTGCCTAGCACGTGCAAGGCCCTGAGCTCATCCTCTGCAATAAGTAAGTAAGCAAACAAACAGCCCACATTTGGATGAATACAGACTTCCATGCCCAGTGCTGGCCAGGACAAATTTCTAGGTGAATCACAGGTCTCTAAAAACAGGTCTCTAAAAACTTAGCTTTATAAGCTAAGTCAACAGTCCCTCATCCAGAAGGCTGAAGGGGTCACCAACAAGTCACCTGGTGGGTGAGCACATGAAATGGGGACCTGCTGTGGGACTGCTTAAACTTCCCAGTGATTCCGTTCTTAGGTATCCGTCCGAGAGAACTGAAGACATCTGTCCACGCGGAAACCCAAACCCATTCGCACGTGTGCAGAGCAGCACAACTCATAATGACCACAAGAGCCTAAGAGTCCACAGGTGGATGAATGAACACACACAATGGTCCATCCCCACACAGGAACATCACACAGCCAATGACAGGAGCGAGGCTCTGACCACAGCATGGAGGGACCTTGAGGACACGGTGCGCAGTGAGGGAAGACACAAGCACACAGCGTGTGACTCTGTTGATAGGAAATGTCCAGAACAGAAGAGTCCACAGACAGGAAGTAGACTAGTGGGGGCCAGGGCTGGGTGACTGCTCCTGGGGATTGGGCTTCCTTTTGGGTGATGGAATGTTCTGGAATTAGATATTGGCGATAGCTGCACAACTCTGACTATAATAAAAAGCACTCAACTGCTCACTTTAAATGGGTACACTGTGTGCGGTATGAATTACATCTCAAAACCGTTCATAATGGCACAGGAAAGGAAGCACGGGTCACCCCCCACCCTCTGGGGTCACCGAGTGCTTTGATGTCATGTCACAAAGCACCTGGCAGGCTATTGGGTCAGCAGAGGGACCAGGCAGGCCCCTGAGCAAGGCAGCTCCTGCTATCTCCGGGGCCTCAATTCCCAGGGAAAATCCTACAAGCCACTGCTTGAGAGGAAGTCGTGGGGCTCACTCAGCTGGGCAAAACGCACCACAGAAGCCAAGGGAGATAGCAGTGTTATTCCGCACCTGTGACAGGAGCAGACGGTGAGTAGGGGCGACTCAGCCTTCCCCGCGTCACTGGCCACCCGGACCCACCGCCGCCTGCACACCAGGCTCGCGCTTACCTTGTTCTGCTCGTGCTTATAGAGGATCTTCAGCGTCTCCATGGCGCGGATCATGGCCTGCATGGCCGTGAAGATGTTCTGGTAGACCAGCTTGGTGAAGCCCCGTTTGTCCTCCTCCGAGTAGCCCGCACCGTGGATGATGCGCATCTGCTTGATGAACGTGCTCTTCCCGCTCTCGCCAGTGCCTGTGAGGCAGGTGGGCGGGTGAGCTACGGGACCAGGCTGCCATGGCTACTGCAGCTGCTCTGACCCTCCAGTGCAGTTGGCAGCACAGGACCACACCACGCACACGCTGCTGCTGCTGTGATACGGTCGCAGTGTACACGCCACACCTCCTCACCATGTCCTATGACCTCCTTGTCTGGTTACTTTCCTCTCTGGGGCCCCCAAAGTGCTTTTCATAGAGGACCTAGGCCTGCTTCATGTCACACCAGACATGCCACCTCTGTCCCCTCCCGTGGCTCCTTGTCCAGGAGCTCCCGGTCTGTCCAAGAAAACAGCTCCTAGAGCCGAGTTTGATTTTTGCATCAAAGGCCACATGGCCAGGCACCAGTGGCTTCACACTTATGATCCCGGCTACTTAGGAGGCAGAGATCAGGAGGATCATGGTTCAAAGCCAGACACAGCAAATAGTTCATGAGACCCTATCTTGAAAAAAACCCATCAGCAAAAAGGGCTGGTGAAGTGACTCAAGGTGAAGGCCCTGAGTTCAAACCCCAGTACTGCAAAAAAAAAAAAAGGCCACGTGGTCTAAGGGACAAATCAATTTTCAAAGCACATACTGTCACCACCATGATCCCCGAAAGCTCTTTTTTGTGAGCTTAGAACTTGTAACTCAACCTAATGTTAGGGCCCCTTGTGTCCAGCACTTCAGAGACACATTGACCTGAGGTGTCCTTCCTGAAATGCACCCCAAATATCTGGGCTCACCTGGAAGAGCCTCTACATTGGTGCCACCCAAGGGCTTGGCTGCCCACCTCGTGTGACTGGGCACTGCCTCCCCACTCCATCTACCGTGGCCACGCCCGTATCTGACCCTGGTGGCCCTGAGCTCTGCCCATGCTCCTGCAGCTACAGTCTCCATTCCTTCCTCTGCAGCATGTGACCCGCCTTCATCTCTCCACACCTGCAGCCCTCTGTGCCATCGTGCCATCCTGGGCCCTCCCCCACCAACCTGGTCCCTTAGACCACCGGCCCTTTGATGCAAAAATCCACCTCTTGGCCTCAGGAGCCTGGTCTCTTGGAGCTCCTAACAAGTATTCACAGAAGGTAACAGAGGTAGCATCTCAAGTGCCACCAGCCTCCTGCAGCCACAGCAGACCAAAGGGCCTTAGGATCAGGATGGAAAACCCAGGACAGGATCCAAGGAGCAAGGCTTGTGTCCGGCCTCAAGATGAGACCCTATACCTGGTGATGTATGCAGGGTCCTCAATCCAGTTCTTTTTTTTTTTTTTTTTTTTTTTTTTTTTGCGGTACTGGGGTTTGAACTCGGGGCTTTCATCTTGAGCCAGTGCACCAGCCCTTTTTTGTGAAGTGTTTCTTCGAGATAGGGTCTCGTGGAACTATTTGCCCAGGCTGGCTTTGAACCATAATCCTCCTGATCTCTGCCTCCTGAGTAGCTAAGATTACAGGCGTGAGCCACTGGCAACTAGCTCCTCAGTCCAGTTCCAATGCTGGACTCCTCTGACCCTCCTCTCAGCAAACAGTGGTGGGCCTGTCCCTACTTTCTGTCACCCACACTCGCTGACTGCCACCTGCAGCATTCTATCAGTGCACCCACAGGTCTCTTATGGGTCGGAGCCCAGTTCCCTCCCTTGGGTGTGGGCATCCCACCGAGCCACCTGCTGTGGTCAAAGTGACAATGCCCCCCCCAGGCAAGGTCACAAGGCCACAGCAGCACCCTGCTCTCCCTGGGATTGCAGCTCCCAAATGTAAGGAGTCCAAGCCTCCCACCCTAGTACATGGGCAGTTGTCGGGCAGTGGCTCCTGAGCGCCACTGAGTCCTGAGCAGCAGAACTCACAACTGCACAGAGCGCGAGCGCGGTACAAGGAAGAGGCCTCCAGACAGCTGCCTCCTCCTCTATAGGCCGAGCTTCCCTCAACTCAGGCTCTGGACAAAAGCTGTGTATATTTCAGAGCTCTCCGGATGCAGGATCTGCTTAAACATTATCCCAATGTCCAAAACATCCCAAAACCTGTTGCGTTGTTGCTCAGAAATGTTCCGGTTCCTGAGCACTTTGGATTCCAAGTTAGGGTGCTCCACCAGGGCATCCACCACTGCAAGGCCTTTTCAGAATTAACAGGGCTTACAGGGTCATTGGGCTGATCGCCCCACACCTCACCTGTCCTGCCTGCAACGCCCCACTCCCACCAAATACCCGTGTGCAGGTCTGACATGGCGCCTCCTTTTCCACACACAGAGCAGTCCCACAGCTCCCGGCCCTCACAGCACCCCAAAGAGAAGTGCAGGCAGTGGCACTAGGAACCACTTTCTATAGCAGGGCTCTCTCCTGGGCACCCACACTGGGCAGGTCATTCTCTGGGGTGGGTATCCTGGGCTCTGCAGGGTGCTGCCAAGAGCATCCCCACCCCAGTCAGGACACCCACAAATGTCCCCAGACACCACTCAAGGTCCCCTGGGGGGAGAGTGGCCCATTACTGACAAAATGCTACTACAGAAATATATCTGCATGCAGGCTCCTTGGGAAGCGTCTTAGCTGGAAAAAGCAGACAGCGGGTGCAGGAGGCCAACGCCCTGCCACAGGATGGCCTCAGCCAGAGGCCAGGCCAGCCCTTGGTAACATCACAGCCAAAGCCCAAGGTTCCCCAGGGCACAAAGGCCTCAACTGTAAATTAGAAAGGTAGTCTCTGCGCTCCCCAAGAACGCCAGGAAAACAGACAGGGCCGGGAAGGAATGTGAAGGTACCATCACTGCCAGGCAGGGTGGCCTGCCTGCTACTATTTGAATGCAGCTCTAGTTCACCAACAGCCCATGGAGCTCTCCAGTGCTGACGAGGGTGCATACACGCTCACACACATATATACATGTGCACAGGTGCGTACTCACACATGCATACACACCATTAGACACACCTGAGTACACATACACGCCAGCACGCATCTGTGTATGTACACACACATGGGCACAGTGCTCACGTGCACATGGACACACACTTGTACACACATACGGCCTGGGCACGGCTGGCAGTGTGTGTTATGTGCAGCACCCAGCTGTGTGGAAGTCACAGCTGTCAGAAAAGGGTTAGGTGGAGGTAAGCAGTCCTGGGCTGCAATGGGCTGTACCAGGGACAGGGTATCCAAGACCTCCTGGGGCAGGGTCTGCCCAGCACAGACCTCTTCAGAGCCTCTAGCCCCTCAGGAGTTGGCAGAACTCAAATGGCAAACCTGCAGTACTCACCAGGCCTAAGCCCAGGCAGAAACAAACGCTTCAGCTCCCTAGGCCAAGGGGAAGACAGTCTTGCTCCTGTGTGCGACACCTACAACTGCTGCCCTAGAGCTGACTCCAGGCCCACCCATGCACAGTACCCCCCGCCCACCCAGTGCTCAAAGGGAGGCACATGCAGTCGGTCAGCTGCTGCAAACAGTGCTCAAGGCCAGCCTCCAGAGGAAGCGAAAGGAATGTGCCTGGGGACACAGTAACCGACTGCCCCATTCCCTGGGACAAGGGTCACCCAGTGCTCAAACCAGGGCAGTCATGGCTCCACCCAAGGCAGCCATCCCTCCCTAGTCAGGTGGCCTTCCTACAGAGAGGCTCCCTGTCTCATGTTGCAGGGTCAACAGGGATCAAGCACCAAGGCCAGGAAGGGCTGCCGTGGAAGGCAGGAGGCCAAGAGGAGAGCTGCTGGATGCCGGGCCAGGCCCAGAGTTTCTGGGCAACAGGGCACTCAGCCACCACTAAGCAATCAGTGCCAGGGCTCAGGACACCAGAGTGAGGCCACACAACCAGGTTGGTTTTTTTTCAGGTGTCCTGTCCTCCTGAGCCAACTCAGCCACAACTGTGTCCTGTCACCCCGCATATCAGAGCTAAAACCTAGGCACAGGATCCTCCAAGCACCAGACCATTCATCTCCTGCCTAATCCTCATACCCCACTGCAGTGGCTGTATGCCCTCAGACAGTGGTCAGTGTTGGCCTTGCTCCTGCCCCACCAAGCACTTGTGCCTACATGCTGCCCACCCCACCCTCAAGCCCTTGTCTCCCACCCGTACTTGTCCTAACTCCAAAATCTACAGTAGCTACCTACCAAGGAGAAGAGCCAGCTAAAGCTCTTGAGAAAGTGTGTGAAACACCCAAGATTTGGCCTAGTTCTGAACTCGCCCACAGCAACCTGCCCCATCACCATCCCAGAGCACTGCAGGGCATGGCAGCACTGCCTGGATCCTGGAACTCCACACTACCTCCACTGCAAAGCTGCCCACGGACAGCCACAGCAATAGCCAAAAAGTGGAGCCAAGCCAGGCACCAGCGGCTCACGTCTGTAACCCTAGTTACCTGGGAGGCTGAGATCAGGAGGATCACAGTTCCAGGCCAGCCTGGGCAAATAGTTCTGGAGACCCCATCTCCAAATAACCAGAGAAAAATGGACTGGAGGTGTGGCTCAAGCAAAAGAACACCTGCTTTGTGAATGAGAAGCCCTGAGCTCAAACCCCATTCTCTTTCTCTGTCACACACACACACAAAAATTAAATGAATAAAAAAGAAAGAAAAGAAGATAGCCGGGTGCTGGTGGCTCACACCTATAATCCTAGCTACTCAGTAGGCAGCGATCAGGAAGATCACAGTTCAGAGCCAGCCCAGACAAACAGTTCATGAGACCCTTTCTGAAAAAAAAATGGTCACAAAAATAGGGCTGGTGGAATGGCTCAAGGTGAAAGCCCTGAGTCCAAGCCCCAGTACCGCAAAACACAAAAGAGAAAAGAACAAAGAAAAGAAGACCAGTCTGGAGCCTTCTGCAGGGCACAGATCTTACCCGGCTGTACTCAGAGCAGTGCTCAGCAGAAGGGTGGGCCAGTGCACACCGCAGCCTGGCAGCTCTCCATGGAACTGCCCCGTGATAAACACAACCCAAGACACCAAGTGGCCTGAATGTGCTGTGCACCCCCACACACTACAACACACACGTATGTTGGAACTACTGGTCTCAAGGCCATGGTGTTAGAAAGGGG